ACTGTCTGTTAGTACTGTAAATAAACTAGCCAGCCTAGTTCTAGTTCCGCATCAAAGGCTCTTTGTCTGTCCGGTTCTTTGTCCCCTTGTACTAGTGGCAGTCGATTATTGTACCGTAGAGCTTGCTTGCTGTTTTTGTGTTATAGAGGATATAGATAGGGTTTTCCGGGGGGCATATAGGGTTTGGTTTTTTGGCCGGTGGTGTAACTTAGCTGCCCTAGTTTCAATCATGTGTGCGGTGGGCTTCCGAGATGTGTGTTACTGTCGGAACACGCGGCCCAGCTGGGGGTATATGGATGGGATGGGACGGGGCCTTTATATACGTGGTGATAAAACAGACAGCTGGCCGCCTAGCTCGTCGCCTGTTTCAAATCGAATTGAATCGTGGGGTTCTGGTCTTACCTCTATATATATACCCATAAGCTTACCATACTACATATCAAAATCAATGTCCTACGCCCTCTACATCCTCCTCCTCCTACTCCTCCTCCTCCTCCTCCCCCCACCCGTCCACCCCGTCCCCCACACCCTCCCCAGCCCCTCCTGCCCACCCGTACCCCCCTCCCCCCTCGGTACCAAATGGCACACCAGCAACACCTGCTACTACCCGTCGAAATACCTCCCCACCTCCTTCACCTGCGAGACGTCCGTAGCCTCGCCGCTGACGTCGGAAGTGCTGGCGGCGATGGACGACCTGCTAGCAAAGAAAGGCGAGTTCTGGTGCGAGCAAGAGAACCCCGGTGGGAGTAGGTGCACGCAGGTGGCGAGGGGGGTCGCGATATGTGGGGCGCTTGGGAGCAGGATGCAGTGTAAGGTGTTGGTGGGGGTGGTGAGGGGGTTGGTGGACTGGTGTCCCGGGGATAGGGTAGGAGGGGTGGTGGAGGTGGGGATGGAGGAGGTGGCTGGGGTGGTGAGGGTTGTGGGGAGGAGGGTGGTGGTTTATTAGGGTAGATTGTTGGGGTGTGGGGTGGTGCTGGTGGTGGTGGTGATCATTGACGGTGGGTCATGGTTGGTCACTCGGTGTGGTGGTTTTGTGTTTTGGTGCTGTGGTGGCAAGGGTGAGTGTGTGCGTGGATGGGGCTTGTATTTTATTTTAGAGGGTACTTGTGGTACTGGTAGTGCTGGTAGGGACGCTGGTAAGACTACTTTGTGGCGAGTATAGATAGGGTATGGTGCGGTGTGATGGACGCCGAGGTTGAATTATAACCTTTTCATTCGCCTATTGCGCCACAAATCGCTGTCTGGCCTTTTGAGTCTTGACCCTCTAGCCTTCGGTCATTGCATCTATATGGATAATATCGGTGCGTAGTATCCATATCATCCCAAGAAACATACACCCATGTAATCCTGTGCCTACACATCTCCTTCCCAGACTTTTATCCCATACCAACTCGTTCCTGGTATGTTTATGCTTAATCAACACAGTCTAGACACGTGCCCATATAGTCAGTCCATCCGTCTAAATCTACAAATAACAAGCCTCCAAAGCTAAACGCCTCTCTTTTCAAAAAGTGTATCTGCTGGGATTCATAACATGATTCAGGCATGTCAGCAGGTCATATGATCACGGGGACGGCCCGTCCCGGAATAGAGTTGGGGTGTAGTTAGTCAGGTCATATGACGTGACGTGGGGTTGTAGTCAGGAGAGCTGAGTGTGGTGATTAGGCGGGAGAGGGAGGGGGATGACGCTGGGGTGAGGTTGGGGTGAATTGGTAGTGTCTCTGCTGAAACCTAGGCCTCGGACGGGCTGTAGTATTCGGGATGTGGTTGCGAGTTGTGGCTACAGCGAAAGCTTGCTATAACGGTACCTTCTATAAGGGTAATCTCTTATATAAGGGTAATCTCTCTATAACGGTACCAAATTCCGGTCCCGAGCGTACCGTTATAGCAAGCTTTCGCTGTATCTGTCCGTCGGGGGTGTGACTATCTGAAGGGTTAGGTATGTCTTAAGCTTTCTGCTGGGTGCGCTGGTGTGGTAATTTCATCATGGATTATCACTCGTATTATTTGCCCTCTATTGCGCGGCTTGTGTGGTCCCCGGGATGCCCGGTGCGGGTCGTGTATGAGTGAGTGTAGGACATTTAAGCTGTGTTTTTTCTCTTACTTTCTGTTGCGGAGTGTTCCTATGAGGTGAATACGTGTAGCTGAAAATCTCAGGTCTACTACATGCCCGGTGGGTCGGGGACGGAGTATTTGTGAACTTCCCATGAACAATGCTGCCCCAGGCTACCTAGGAATATATGCCACTCAGGACAACAGGCGAGTGAAGTCGCCCGCATCACTCACAAGTAATACTGCATGTCTCTAACATTGCTAAATCTACGGCCGGCTTTTTTGCTCCCCCGCGCGGCCCCGGTAGGTATACTCTGTAGAGAGTAAAAGCCATCAGCTCAGGAAATGTATCTTGGTCATATTGGTAGGCAAATCTAGTCCCTCTATCACTCGCCATCTGCCCCCTAGGTATGTGTAGTGTTGTATGAAGGTAGAATACCACACCTGCTGCTGCTCCCAAGATTTGTCTGGATCGTTGGCAATACAAGACAGCGCTCTTAGGTCATAGCTTGAACGAGATGGGGAGGAGTAGGGGCTTACTCGGTTATACATAACGCATTTCTCCGTCTTTTCTTGCTAGTTGAGAAAAGGCCTCGCAAGTGGGTGTTCTGCCACGTCCCTGCTCTTAAAAGCCAGATATCCCCCTAACTGTGGTCGGTGGAATATCTATTCTTCCCTTATATCACTGCGTGTCCCCTAGCTATTCCGCCGGGCATATAGGGGTACCTTCAGTCTTCTTCTCCACGAATCTTAAACTATCGAGAGCCATTGGGTTTATGCTCAACACCCAATTTGGTGGGGAAATTTCACGATGTCCAGTCTCAAGGAATTCAATACCACGGCATCGGAGATGAAGAGGATAAGGAGGCTCTATGGAGGAGAGTGCCTTAAGATCAACTACCTACAATTTACATCCCGAGACGAGAAAAATAGCCGTAGCCTCGTGCCATCATTATTTCGGCCGGAGATTTGGGTTAATACTAACCACCTTCATGAGAAGAAATGGGGCTTTGAACTAAGGACTGTTCTCTCTCAAAGCTCGAGGCCCAGAAAGAACGCTGGCCCAGAACTACGCAGCGAGCATTCTCCAAGGAAACCCTGCAGCTGGCTGGTTACCCTAGATCTTACCAGGCACTGTATTTATGCCACTAAGTAAGCATCGTCACGATTCGGTAGTTGAAGAAGAAGTAATGGGAAGCGGCACTTTTCTTCAGCGAGGACCCTATCGCCCACAGTGGTTCGAGGTGGGGCGACAGGAGAGCGGCTTTATTCACTGCTGGAATTCATTGTACAGCTTTCTATTGAGCTTTTGGCTCAACGTCTTAAGGTATACATGTAGGCTATAACGTTCAGGTAAGACCTTCCTATAATGGCTCTATTGCATATCAAGAGGGAAGAGGATTGAACCTGGAGCTGACTTTTAGGATATTTGGTGGTAATATCTTGGTTTTAACTGAAGAATTGATTACAGGAGGCAAAGCACATTGTAGGAGTGTTGGGAGAGGCTCTTAAGTTCGAGGGAAAAGAATACAGAGAACTCTCTCCCCCATACCCTATGAGCTTGGCGGGATATCTGGCAGTATCCTGCCAGTTTTTACGCCCCCTCGTGAGCGGTTTCTTGTTTACCTAAAAAAGATACCAGCTTTCACCGATTTCTCTGTGGTAACTACATATAGTATAGTCTCTTATTAACTACGTCCCACTAAGAGCGCAGCTCACAACGTCTTCATGAGATTTATTAACCACTCAAAGCAGCTCTTGAGAATATCAAGCATATAATGGTCAAGCTGACATGGGTTCGTGCGCGAGGCCCTAGATCTACGGACACCGTTGTAGACTCGGACAAGGGATTGCGACAGTCTAACCTCTTCTCTCCGAACATCCGTTGGTTCAGCCTTGTGAGCATCAAGCATACGACATCATACTCAGGGTCAGCTCCTGCAGAGAGAAGAATGTAAGGAACACTTCTAGCTAGCTAGGAGCCAATATACTCCACGGCTACCCTACCATGTATGGAGTTTGGGTCGGGATGACGTTAACGCAATTGGGCGTTTACTTATGACACACATAAAATCCCGCGCTTCTGAACGTAGCGGCACAGCTTATGTGATGCTGCGGTCGGGGGACCAGGCCTGCGCATGTGTCATCGCCAGTCGAGTAGCCACATTTTCACGGCACAGTGTATCATGTCGTGTTGAAGGGCGGGCCGTCGGTGGTTGCTGTAGTTGTGGTTGTGGTACGTTGTGGTTGTGGTTGTGGTGGTGGTGAATAGTAGAGCTTAAGGTACTGACACTAGTGTACCTACTTGTTGATTCTGATTCGAGGAAATACTACTAATTGACGCCTCAAGTCATAAGGGAAACAGACTTTTCAATTGTGCCCAATACCAAGCGCAATAAAACCAATTCCTACCGACGTTATTGTGGATACATCGTTGGTCGGTGGTTTAACCTAGTAGAATACTATCTAGGTAATTTCACCACTGCAATCCCAATCACCAACAAGCACTCGCACGCCGTAGCCAGCTTTGCAACGTCCCCAAGCCAACGTTTAGACCACAAACAAAGAATTCTGGCCGCTTACATTCGGCACACGGTCTCCAAGCGTATTCTTTTAGAAGACGATATGAAAGTATGACTCTGGCACAGCTTTCAGCCGCAGCTTGACTCATGCCGAAAGTGCGCTAGTCCCAATACAGGTTTCAATATTTAGTAGATCAGTCAACCAGCATCATGTCAGCGCCGTAGCAGTACTCAGGGCTAGCTAGAGCCAGGCCTGTATCAAAAGGAACAGAAAAAATAATAACTCAAGGACCTCTACGCAGCTAGGGATAAGTAAGTCTATATCAATAGCTTGCCTGATATGGTTGAAAGGTATATAACCACCCTTCACCACTCTCACTCCCACTCCCCCCATCGCTCCCCCCGATCAAGCCGTATCTACACCCTATGGCTCCACGGAACAAAGTCCCCACCCCCATCAACACTCGCCTCCTCTCCCGCCTGCACAATGACTACAAAGACCTCGTCGAAAACCCCTACCCGGGGATCCACATGATTCCTCACGAGCAAAACCTGCGCAATTTCTGTCTCGTCCTGGCGCCGCAGAGCGGGCCGTTCCTGGGGCTGCGTCTTCACTTTGCCGGCCGCCTGCCAGAGACGTGGCCCGCGGACCCGCCGGTGTTGACGAGCTCAGCTTATATAAGGCATCCGAATATCCATGGCCGGTATGTCTGTTCGGATCTGTTGAGGCATGAGCAATATGGCGCACCGGAGGGGTATGTTGGTGGGTATACGCCGGCGTTTACACTCAAGGGGCTGTTTATTCAGTTCTTGTCGTTCTTTTCGTCGGAGCAGGTAATTGAGAACTTCCTCCCCCCCTCCCTCCAAGAAATATTATCAAAGAATAATATAGCTGATAAAGCAATTCTCCACAAACAGGTTGAGCAGGAACATGGTCCCAGCGTCTACATCGGCGGCCGCTTCCAAAAGATCTTTGTCCCCACGGGCGAATTCCAGAGCATCGGAATCGCCACTTTCGTCTTGTCCAATGACAGTCCCGCCAGCACCCCAGGCCGCTTCGACGACGACGCAGCCTACATGGCAGAATTTGAGGCCGGCGGGCGCAAGGAGCGCGTGCTTGAGCGACTCTACACAAGTAAGGGGCGTGAAAGCCTGGTGACTGTATGGCGGCCAAATGCCAACGGCCCGTTTGCGAATGTAAAGATCACCCGGGAGAGTAAGAGGTTTCTCGAGACGCGGAGTCAGTCTCGTCAGTTTACGTGTAAGGAGTGCGGGTATGGGACGCCCTCGATGTCGAGGACGGTACCTGTCAAGGTTCCCAAGGAGTACATGGACCAAGACAGCCCGTTCAGGGAGGAAATGGTGGGGTGTATATCTGCGAACGAGAGGGAGCTCGTGAAGCTGAAGCGGAAGCTGCGGCCAATCAATGCACTCAAGGAGAGAAAATTGGCCGGAGAACATCTACAAGGGAACCAGATCTGTAAGCTGGCAACATATGATGATCTCGCCGAGGCGATTCGGAAGGTCGAGGCCGATATAGCCAAGGAACCACCACCACCGCCGCCCCCAAAGCTCCCTGAGGCGAAGAAGCAGAGCCCAAGCAAAGGTAAAATTTGTTACCTGGGGGATCTCCACGATGATGTTCTCCTTGCCATCGTAGAAACCCTGCCTTCGGAGTCGTTGATAAGTTTCGGAAAGGCATTCCCGCGCATACAAGAGCTCACCACACACCACCACATCCTCCTACAGCGGGAGCTTCGCTGCTTCTTTCTCCGCACGCCCCTCCACACGCCCTCGAATCTACTCGGCGTAGGAGTCCACATCGACGAGAAAACGGGCATGCTCGAGAGCTCGTTCGACTGGCTCTCCATGGACGCCTTCGAGAAGTTCAAGGTGCGAAAAAGCGTCGATAAGAAGGAATTCGAGTTCTTTCTCCCACTCGGCTTCAGCCCAGCTCATTTCGATAGGGCTTACAGTAGTAAAAAGCTGTTTGAGTACATTGACCTGATCGACGCCAAAAATACAAAGAAGAGGGGGGTCTCGGGGCCCGGCAACACCCTCTTCGCGCTCAATGGGGCCGAGAGACGCATGAATGTGCTGTATAGGTTCTGTAACTCCATTGTTGTGTCGTTGATGCGTGCTACAGATGAGCTTTACTCTGGCGGGGCTGTGGGGGATGAGGGAAAGGCGGGTAAGACACTGTTGTTTGCGAGTGAGAAGGCGTGTATCGGATATCTCCAGATATACCACCTGTTGCTGTGCATCATGCGCCAGGAGCCAGAGCTCCGCAAGAGAGCGGTGGAGAGGATAAAGGCCTTCTGCGCCGATGATCAAAACAGGTCAAAGTCTTCAGTCCCTGATCTTGGGGAGTTTATAGTAATGGCTGCAGTGGTTGCAGGCAGCGACAAGTCAGCTTCAGCTGGTACAACCACCCTAGCGCCATTCAACGGCGGGCGTAAAGCCGAGGCCGAAGAGGGCTGGATTATCGCCGGGCAGAAAAAGCGCCAGCTCGAGAAAACAGGGAGTAGTATCTCATGGCGGAAGGACCTCGTCGGGCCCTTCACCGACGAAGTCTTCACCCGCAACGCGCGCTGGGCAATCCAGAAGTACCCAATCCTCGCCAACAAGTACAGCGTCGACCCCAGCCAGCGGATCCGCAAGTCGTTCGACGCGAGCAGGACCTCGCTCCGGCTGGTGATGTTCCAGGTGTTTTTCCTGGAGACGTTTACGGCCGAGCATATCACGCGGCAGATGGACAGCCAGTACGGGTTTGCGGGCCCGGAGGTGCCGGCGATGATTACGAGGGGGATCAAGGAGATCTATGAGGTTAATGGATATAAGCAGTTCTGTGAGCGGGTTGGGTTCAAGGGTGCGGTGGGCGGTGAGTGGTGGCCCGAGGCGATGAGTAGGGTGTTGCTGAGTGCAGTGGAGAGGAGTGAGATGAAGGGGTATCATCGTGCTCATCGGGAACGACCGTGATACCAAAAACAATACATCCCAACACTGCTCGGCTCTCGCATAGCCTGCGGGTTGCCGTTTCTTTCTTATAGCAGAAATCCGGGCCGGGCAATGCTTGAAAACTGCAGAAGGTCTTTTGGTGACGGTGGAGGAAACCATCCACCCAGCTGACCAGGCTAGAGGAGAGCTCGCGAGATTTGGGACATTGTAGTAATATTGTGCATAATGTATATAGTTAAAAGTATATGTAGACTTCAACCATCAAAGAACAAAAGATCCACAGTGGCCAAATAACCACACCAAGCTTACGGTTGGCAATTGGGTGTTTGATCTTGGTATTAATTTAGCTATTATAGCTACTTTAGTCAAAGGTCTGCGTTAGGTATGGCACGTACGCCAAGCCACCCGAGTGACACCCTATGAATCAAATGCATCATTACCTCTCACTCGCTATCCGCCACCAACCAATACACTGCTACCTCTGCCTTAGCAGCCAAACCGCGCAGAGACTCAAAAGGTGCGCCGTGGCGGCAAGAAAATGATCCATAACATTTCAAGTCATCTGCTGTAAGACATGGTACCACGATAAAAAGCTAGAAAAAACACAAAAGATGGGGAAGAAAAAAATGCGAAAGAAAAAAGGACATAACAATTACACCAAGCACATCCAGTCCATACCCCACTATCCATCCATATCCGCGTATCCGTATCAAGCCTTAAGTACCGTCACCCCACCACCCGTCACCCCGCTTTCCCCGGAAACCCACGGAGCTCAACCACACACACGGGAGGGGAAAAAAAATGAGAGCAAGAAACGAACGAAAAAGAAACCCACAACATAAGCATAGAAAAAGAAAGAAAAAATGAAAAAAAAGCACACAAGGAAACGCCAATTCTACACCACAGCTATCAATTTAGTTAAAAAAAAAAAAGAGCAAACAAGTAAGGTTAGTAGCATCTCTACGTCCGCTCTACTGCAGTCCCTCGTCACTATCGTCGTCAAAAGCCTCTACTTCGGCGATTGCCTCGTCTCTAGGGCCGCCTGTGTGCCCATGTACACTTGGTTCCGAGTCGGCGACATTGATGACTTTCTTGCCTTGCACCTGTTCCCCCCGCCACGGTTATTAGCCCCGAATCCCCCATGTTGGGCAGGATGACCATACTTCACTGACGCCTCGCCGCCATTCTTTCCAGTCTGCCTCGTTCTTTATCAGGAACGCTAAAAGCATGCTGGGGTCCATCTCTTTGAGGTGCAGTCTACGTAAGCGGCGAGTATGGCATGTCTCAATCTCCTCGGAAGTGTAGTTTTCCGGTTTTTCACGGTGGGGGAGAAGCGGACGGGCTTGATGTGGGTCGAGGTAGAAGAAGGTGTCGCCCTGGACGCCGACGAAGTAGTGCGATGATGATGGGCGACCGCTGTGGTAGGGAGTGTTAATATGGCTAATAGGGGATGAAATGGAGAGCAGAGGATTACCCAGCGATACCGACGGACTGCGGCATCTGTACGCAGGCCTTTAGAGCCTCCCAGTAGACTGGTGTAACCCGCTCGATGCCGAGACGGATCCCAACGAGGACAAGCGTGGGCTTGAAGACCCCATCGACAATTGCGACTTTGCGGAAGGCATCTTCGTAGACGTCGCCACCATCGCGGGTAATATACACGCGGAGGCCGGCGGGCTCGTAGTTATTTGATAGCTCTCTGTGGCCCGTTAGACAACTCCTTCCGAAAAAACATGCCGCATTATTCGGTCGGTGAGCTTACTGAATACACCTCGCAGCCGCTGACGGGCCAAACCACTCTCCCGGGTGCTTCCCACAAGCTTCCTCCCCATGCTTAACAAAGCGATGAATAGAGAATGGAGCCTTCGGGTCGTCTGCAAATAGCGCTAATAGCTTCTTCTCTGCCGCCGGGTTTTGTCCACGTCGCCAATCTACACACTACTATTAGCTTTCAAATCCGTGGATATAAGGTTAAACCACTAAGCAAACACGCACCCCGACCAAGCTGCAGCTCCAACAGCGTATTCGCAAGCACACACTGCCCCGAGCGTATCATGCACCCCCACCCGCTATCGCTAGTAAACCCCGCCGCTTGATTCGGCATTTGACTTCTCAGGTTCGTAATAAACGAGAGGCCTGCGGCGTTATCCGCCGACTTTGCGATGGGCGCAAAGTCGCTGCGATACGTCATCCAGATGCGGGACTCGAAGTCATCCAGGAATGGTTTTGGCCACGACGACTCCCCCTCTGTATCCGTACGTGAAGTGAGAATGGGTGAGTTCAAGATGCCGCTTGTCTCGGCGGAGGGAGGAGGCGCGCCGGGGCACTGCGGAAGGACGCTCGGGTACTCGCGGCCGAGGAGCCAGATGGAGTTCATGGCGTCGGTGTTCTTTGGTTCGGGGTCCCACAGGAATTTTTGGACAAGGCGGTGGATTCCCTCGTTGCTAAAACTGAACATGTTCTGTTCGGGGGAGGCGGCTGCTTTTTCTAGGTGCAGCAGCAGCAGCAGCGGTTGGGAGGGAAAGGCGAGGAAGGAGGAGAGGGGGTGTTTGGAATGGATCGAAGGTCCGCTGCAGATGTAGGGTGTTTTGTGAGATGTTGGTGGCCGATGAGTAAAGTAGGAGGGAAAGAAGGGGGGGGGGGGGGTGGAGTGGAGTGTGGAGTGTGGGGGGGATAGCTGACTGGAAGTTGAGTTGAGAAGGGAGGGAGAGGGGGTGAAGGGGCTGGGAGAGACGTGTTCTGTCTGTAACTTTTTTTTGTAGATGAAGCTGCCGGTAGTGTAGCTCCTTCTGTCACTTACTCTGAACTCTGAACTCTCTTCTTCACCTTCAAAGTCTACAGGCACAACAGCAGTAGTAGCATGCAATACCAAGAAATCGTTGTGTCAGAAACACAGTAGACAGAAGGGGTTGGTTTGGTTTGGTCCTGGATGGCTACAGAGTATGATATGTACGGATAGCTGTGTAACTCCAGAGTAACTACTCCAGAGCTTCAGTCTGCGATGGTGAGTGATGCTGCTGAATGCGCCGTTGACGCGAGTGAAGAGAGCCAAGACCCGGGGAGCGAAGAGAGGGGTGAGGGGCGAGGGGCGATTGTGATGTCAGATACTCCTATCTAGGTACAGTCCCGCGATGCTGCTACTCTAAGTTGAGTACATGTATCTATCTCCCACAGCAGGCAGGGCAGAGCACGGTTCACAAGACGAATGAACGTGGACAGCAATAGCAGCAGTTGTGTGTTTCACGAGGGAGGTTGGTCTCGTTACCGGGGGTCCCAGCCAAGTCCCGTGTTGTTTTCTGCGTAAAACTGCTTTAGCATCTCTACTCGTAATTGAGTTTCTGAAACGCTGGCAGAGATTGGATCAGAATCACAGCTGGTCCAGTTCTCAAAATGGCTCATCATGATCATCACGATGACTCTGCTCGGAGAGACACACTCTCCTCCCTCCTGGTGGTACCTTGAAGCTCCTCGGGCCCCACCCTAAATCCCTGCCAGAGCTTCCACCCTTGCTGTTCCGCCAGCCTCGTTAGTTATCGATTGATCTGATAAGATTGTTCATGGATTGTTACATGCCTGCTGCGTATATTCCATCACGTAGTATCCAGACGGACTCAAAGCCCGTAATCATGCTGTAGTTTCAATTGCAAATACACATCCAATAACCTCGATAACATTACCTGTAGGCTGTAGCATCTCATATTAAAAAGAAAAAAGGGCATCTGAAAAGCTGGATGCCTAACAATTTCTGCCCCATTTCTCCGCGCACCCTTCTTCAATTCAGGCAACCGCGCAGCAAGCAAGTACCGCTCCTCCCGCGGCCTCTTGATAAGATAAGGGTGGATGTGAAAGAAAAAGGCGGGACACAACCTGCCTGCTTATGTGAGAACCTACCATACCATGACGACCCACCCCCCGTTTCTTCACCTTCCCACCCAGCTATTTCATATTCCACCTTTCTCCCTTTCATCACCACACATCCAATTGAGCACTGGTCTCAACACATTCTCAACACCCAATGGTCCACCGGGGACGTGGAGCAAATAAATTCCGAGGCGGCGGCGATGCCAGCGGCCGCGGAGGCGGCGGTGGTGGCAGAGGTAACAGAGGTGGTAGAGGTCGTGGCGGCGGTCGTGGAGGCTTCTTTCGAATGGCTGGTACATCTTGACTCTCCTTCTTTCCCTGACTCCCGCACCAGTGGGCTAAATAGTAGCAGGAGACGAAAAGCACAGCTTCTCACTAGCAGACGAGGCCAAAAACACAGAACGGCACCATGGAAACTATGCCGGGGGCTCACTACGCCATGTCAAGATCTCCTTCGTCGCTGCTGGGCACCTCGAGCCCGCGGATCTGCTAAAGCCCCTAAATGCCAATATCCCACCCGTCGAAGAAGGGCAGAACCTTATGCAACCCAGGGCTCAACGAACGACGTCTGACTCAACAGAGGCAGAGGACGAGGACTTCGATATGCAGAATGGCGAGAGCGACTCACCTGCTGAACCCACCGCCACCGGAGACTTGCAAGAGGACCTGGATATGGAGAAGCTCGACCTGGACCCCCCATCAGAGAAACCGTTTGTCGTAGACGTCGTTGGAGACCCTTCACTCAAGCCAAAGGGAAAGAGCATATTCACAATGCCAATCTACTCCCCGGCCCGCGAAATATCACCCGAGAGACCGGGCTCCTCATCCTCCTCTAGTAGCGAGCGTATTGTGTTCATTCCACGTAAAATGCGGCCTGGCCTCTCACGCACTGGCACCAACCTATCAATATCACAAGAACCCGCCTCTTCAGCATCAAAGCAGAAGAAGACCCCCACACCCCTGAAGCGGGAGCCAACGCCACCTCCAAAAGAACCTACGCCACCGGCAGTAGAGGTGAAAGTCATTGAAACTGTCGTATCCCATACCACCATCACAACCGTTAACGACAAACTCCCCGTCGCCCCCACTATTGACTCCAAACCGTTCACCCGTTCCACAAAAGGCAACAAACGTCGTAGCGCCCGTCAACGCAAGAAGGATGAGGAAGAGGAAATAATCCGCGACTACATCGAGAACGTTGCTGCAACCATGCGTGCCGAGGACGCCGAGGACGCCGAGGAACGCGGCGAAGCTGCTCCTGCTGTTAGCGTGCGAGAGCTCGGCGGTGATGACGACCCCGAGGATGCCTGGTCTTCCGCTACAGATTCAGAAGAAGAGGCGGAGGACTCCGATGCCGTCAATGCCTACAAGTCCATTTGGTCAGAACATGAGCTCGAGGACTTTGACGCACTCAGCACTGCCAGCGAGGGTCCACGCGGGCCCGTCAAAATCGTGATCGGGAAACGTAAACGGCCTAGTGGCGTGCAATATCTCATCAAGTGGGAAGGGTACGAGACCGACGACGCAACCTGGGTACTCGCCGAGACGCTGGACTCTGCCGCTGACGCAAAAATCGCCGTTTATGAGAAGATCCTCATGCAGAAAGCTACTGACGCTGCGAATGCCGCTGCAAGCTCAGAGGATAGCGACGATGGCAGTGATGACTATGACGAGGATGACGATGAAGACCTGGATGAAGACGAGAAGCTAGCACGGTTCCTGCAGCATCAGGAGGAGATGGGGATCACTGAGTCTGACCTAGAATTGAACCTTGAGTTGGATGAGCTTATGGAGCTCTCCTTCCCTGGTGGCGGCGGCGGTGGCAGCAGCAAAAAAAAGGCAAAGGGCAAGGGCAAGTCCCGTTACGCCGACATTGTTCTTGACCGACGCACAGGCAGGTTTCCCAGCGCGACTCGATTCGCCGAAGCCTATGACGACTTTGACCCGATGGACTGGGAGCGTCCAAGCTTGTCGACAAAGAAGGGCAAGGGCAAGAAGGGCAAAGGGAAGCAGATTGAGGTTCTGGGAATCAGCGATTCGGAGATTGAGGAAAATATCCGCAATACATGGCAGAAGGACCGTGAGAAGAAAAAGGCGCGGAAGCAGGAGCGTGAAGCATTGAGAGCCGAAGGACTCCTAGGACGCAATCGTACTGTACGCGACCCGAAGGCGAAGTGGAAAGAGGGCATGAGTTCGGGTGATCTTAGGGACGAGATCACACAATTCTTGCTTAGTGAACTGTCAAGGTAATTACCCCTTCTTCCGAGGCTGTAAATGAGAGCGGGACGGACGCTAACGAACCCCAGCATCGCCCTTCCCCCCATGTCAAAGCCGGACCGCAAGATTGCCCACACAATTGCCGCCGCCTTCGGGCTCAAGTCCAAATCAGCCGGCAAAGCCAGAGCCCGCTACACAACCCTCTATAAAACATCCACCTCTGGTCGCTTCGCCCAAGACGAAGACGCCATTAACGATTTGATGGCCAAAAAGAGGTTCTTTGGCCGTCCCGACGTCCACACCGGCCGCGGCGGCCGTGGTGGTGGTGGTGGTCGTGGCTGTGGTGGTGCAGGTGGCGTTGTACACCATCGTGAAGGTGACATTGTCGGTGGCTCGGCCCCAGAGATTGCAGAAGACAACAAGGGCCGCAGGATGCTCGAGAAGATGGGGTACAGGACCGGAATGGCCCTGGGTATCGATGGAAATAAGGGGATTGTTGTTCCTGTCGCTGCGATTGTTAAGATCTCGAAGGCGGGGCTGGGCTAATATGGTACGGGCGTGTTTTTATACTTTTGTTTCCTTTTCTTCCTTCGCTGTATTTTATTTTAGTAGTGTATTTTCAATGCTGGTAAACAGATGAAATTCCCTTAGAATGGGATAGGATTGGGGAAGATAGTCTTGATATCGACAAAAAAGTTTGTCTTTTCTGTTTTTGCTTCTGCTTTTGCTTCTACTTTTCAGACGATGAGATGATAGGTAGATGGGATGGTCGGGTTGTTGATAATAGGAATAATTACTTGCAGAAACTTCATAATCGAACCTACGACCGTAGTCGGGACCAATCTGTGCTGTGCTGTGGTGTGGTGTGGTGAAGCGAGTGATGAAGGATGATCGAGTAGATCATAGAACATCACTCGCCTGGCTTGGCATTAACGCCTCGCCCATCCACCCTCATTTCGTCGTAGATGGCCGTCTCAAGAAGATGAAACGATGAAATAAATCTTTTCATCAGCTAAAAGCTCTGAAGGATGAAGAGAGGGGTAGAAAGCGTTAATTTCAATGTTATCAGGGTTTATCAGCCACGATGCTTCTGGGTCGGGGTGGCATATAGAATGGGCTGGGTCGGGGATTAGGTTGAGTTTAGTTCGCAGTAGCGAGGAATTATCTATCATGGTGGACACGTAAGTGCTGCATCTTATGAAGCTGGCTTTTCTTTTTTTTCTTTTTTTTTTTTAGGGGGGGGGGGGGGGCGTGGCTGGTTCGGGCACTGTCTGGCTTTTTAAAATTGTGTCTATCCATCCCTATGAGCGTTTTGTTGTTCGCCATGAGGAAACATTTTGAGGTTTTGCCTTCACGGTTTGGGATTGAGCCAATTAAAGATAGAACTTGAGTAATGTGCTTTCCTCTTCTATCACGTTACCGTGAGGCCGGTGGGGTGTGCGGATGGGGGAAATTGAGTGTCTAGGCTCTCTTGAGCACTCGATACATGTATAGATACAAGTTATCTTACAGATTAATGCTTCTGAAGGTGTGCCAGCTTGAGAGAGGAGAGATGCCAGTGTGAGGAATTATTTAGATAGGCCGAGATATAAATTACCCAGTGATGGTGTACTTATTATCACGGGTGCCTAATTCTGGCCAGGGCCTGGGTAGGTTCATATCTCTGCCATGCTTGTATCATAACTTCCCTATTAGGTTTGAATAACACGATTGAGATCAGACCAGACGGCCTAAGGGATATTCGGCTTAGTACTTTCGACTCTCATTGCTCTGGCTTTCCCAACTGGAGCTACAGTCTCAAAGTGTGTGGTTTATTGACTGAGGATCAGCGGAAATCAGTTGCCAATCTTAGAGTACATATATTATAGTCACTTGCCTCCAAGTTCCTTCACTTGATGGTTGGGACGAATCTTTTTACACACGTCTCTAATCATTCGCTATTTAGCACCACGTTCATCATCATGATCGAGATGTGGTTCAGATACTTAGTGTGGTCCCTGCATGGGGACACTCAAGGCGAGATTTCAGGGTGTCCTTGGGGCGCCTCGTTCTCTATCATTGACGCTTGTACTCCATAGCCCCGAGATAGTACTAGGAGTTTGGTCTTGAGGTGGCAGCTCGAGACTTGCCATGTGATGGTCAATCCATGGAAGCTGAATAAGCTGGTATAGGGATTTTTCACTTAGTTTAATTAGTATGCATGGTACAGTAAAATGATTTTTTCCTTCCTATCTTATCATGATCTAAGCTACGATAAATTCCCTCCATTTTTGACTTCGAGGCCATGTCCTCGAAGGAAGAACACAAGGACGCTCGTCTTCGTAGACTGCATTAAAATATACCAATTTTTACTAGTTTTAAGAAGCAACTTAGTCATTACTTTTAAACCCACGTAATTTTCGATCGAAAATTAAAGTGGGAATATCTATATTTCCACAGTCAGCTACATAGCCCAAAATTCCAAGTCTCTTCTTGGACTCAGATCTAGAGACTCCGTGACCCAACCCAGTGCGACCCAGATCAGCACAGCTTATCAGATAAGATAATTTTTCACCACCCTGCTCAGAAAATAACTTAGCCAGTGCCTCCGGCCAAGCAAATTTTTCCCAGCGCTGCGGCGAAGAATCAAAAACCAGTCTTGGCACCAATTCCGACTTTTTCTTTATAAACCACGGTTTCCCCCCATTCTAACTTTTTTCCCCAAGCTACACGACTGCAATCGCACTCACCCCCTGTCTCAAGCCAGCGGGGTGAGTGCAAATCTACACTATCTGCCCTAGGGCAGCGTAGATTAGCCTCCTCTGGCACCCGCTGGGCATAACGCCCCAGGGTCCAGAGGGGGCTAATTTGCGTTAGGTCGTTTTCATGGTCTGCTTCCCCCCTTTGCCATTAATTGTCCTTGCTCCTTCCTCTCTTCCCTTTTTTGCTTCTGGCCTCTTCTGGCCCCTGGGCTTTTGCCTGGGGATCAGGAGGGGCCTAAATTACGTTAGGTGATCTGTAGTTTCTCTTTCTCCCTCTCCCCTTAGTTTCAGGCCTCTCTTGGTCCTTGGGCTTCTGCCTAAGGATCAGGAGGGGCCTTTTTTGCGTTAGGTCTACATGTTTCGATCTCCTCTCCACCATTGCGTTTAAATCAATTCAGGCCTCTCTTGGTTCTCGAGCTCCTTCAGCTCAGGGACCAGGAGGGGCCTTTTTTGCGTTAGGTCTACATGTTTCGATCTCCTCTCCACCATTGCGTTTAAATCAATTCAGGCCTCTCTTGGTTCTCGAGCTCCTTCAGCTCAGGGACCAGGAGGGGCCTGATTTGCGTTAGCTTAGGCTAGGGTTCTCCAGCGCAGCCCTCCCCCTCTGCCGGCGAAAAACGAAAAACCAGTCTTGGCACCAGTTCCGATTTCTTTATAAACCACGGTTTCCCCCCCACCCCAACTTTTTCCCCCAAGCTACTCGACTGCACCCGCACTCACCCCCTGTCTCAAGCCAGCGGGGTGAGTGCAAATCTACATCAACTGCCCCCAGGACAGCGTAGGTTATGCCTCCTCTGGCACCCGCTGGGCTGATGCCCGAGGGTCCAGGGGGGGCTAATTTGCGTTAGGGCGTTTTCTCGGCTTGCCTCCTTCCTTCCCTCCTTTCCTTTTGTTCTCTTCCCTCTTTTTTTTTTTCTGGCCTCTTCTGGTCTCTGGGCTTTTGCCTGGGGATCGGGAGGGGCCTAAATTGCGTTAGGTCTGTTTCTCCCCTCTCGTTCTTGCTGGTAGTTTCTGGCGTTAGGTTTGTCTCCCCTCCTCCTCCTCGTCCACCACTTCGTTTCAGGCCTCTCTTGGTCCTCGAGCTCCTTCCGCTCAAGGACCAGGAGGGGCCTGCGTTGCGTTAGGTCTGTCCGTCCTCTTCCCTCTTCTCCCCTCCCCGCCCCGTCCCTTCAGTTCTTAGAGGTGCCGTAGAAATTTGAAAACCGTAAAACTGCCAGGACCGAGTGATGGCTCATGATTCCTGGCGGTGAGACTGGGTTCTCCGTAGCGTAGTACTAGTGTGTAGAGCTGCTACCAGCGTTTTAGGGAAATATCGCTCTATGATGCCGAAGTTAGCTGGATAGTACCCGTGTTCTACCCAAGAGGTGCCCAGGAGGCAAGGTACATGTAGGCAAGGTCGGTAGGTTCGCGCGGGTTGTTGTTCAGAATCATGGATTCGCATTCGGGTGCGTCTATCTACCACTAGTCCAAAAAAGACTACGCGTTCACTGGGGTATGGTGCAACGTCAAAAAACTAGTTTATGATATCTGGAAACAAATTTATACGATACGATCTGGCTGTCTCGGTTGTCTTACTTTCGGTGGTTCCTTCTAGATCCCGCAATCGAGAAAGCACTATGCCTCAGCCGCGAAGGCGTCTAGCTGCCCAGCTCTAATTACTTGGGCCATACGGATACACTTTACACCAATCTTAACTAACCTAACAATCCTCACCAACTCCTATAAAAAAAAAAGAATAAAAAAGAAAGGAAGGAAGCAGCAACTTTTAATCCTAAAAAACAAAAACAAAAAAAACAAAAAAGTCTAACCAAACCCAAAGCTACGCTGTAACCCAACGCCATTGCAAACCACACCCGCCTATCACAACCCCCTCGCCCCCTACCTGTCTGTCACAACTATGTGACACTACTTCCTCCTCTTCCCCTTCCCCTTCTTCCCGCCACCCGCCGCATCCGTCCCCGCACCCCCAGCACCCGTCACCGGCACCGCATGCGACGGATTGTCCCTCAAATGGTTAAACATCTTCGTATTCGACGGAAAGCTCTGCTTACACACCGCACACGTATTCGCCTTTCCCCCCTTCTCCTCCGCGGCCGCCGCCGCCGCCGCTGCAGCACGCTTCGCCTTCTTGGCCTTTGCCTTTCCGAGCTTCTGCGCCGGTTTCTGGGACCCTTCGTCGTCCGAGTTTGTGGTGAGGGTGAGGTTTGAGAGGTCTGATGTTGGCGGCGTTGTGGCGCCGCGGAGACGGGCGGTGAATGTTGCGGTGGAGACGTAGTCGTCGTTGTCGGCGTCGGCGTCGGGGTCGGAGTCTTCTGCTCCGGAGGGGGCGGGGGAGGGGGTGGGCGGCTTTGTGTTGGTTGTTGGTGTGGGCTCTAGTGGTTTTTTGGACTCCTCCTCTTTGGGGGAGGCTTTGGATTTAGGCTTGGATTCTTCTTCGTCGGCAGAGAGGTCGTCTTCTTCCTCTTCTGCGGAGAGGTATTCTTCGTCTTCGTCCTCGTCGATGGGTTTGAACTCCTCCGGCTTCGTCCACCCGCGCACGTCCCGGTCAAGGTCAAACTCCTTATTCTCCTTCCGCATCTGCTTCTTCAGCTCCCACACAGCCCTCGCGTGCTTCTGCGAGCGCTCATGGTCCAGCATAGGCCCCTCCTTTGCAAATATCTTCTTACAGACAATGCACTCATACCGTCTCGGCTCCTCCTCCAGCTGCTCCTCCTCCTCCTCTTCTTCCTCGTCCTCCTGTTCTTCAGCATACTCTTCCGCAGTGTTGTCTTCGTCGGTCTCCGAGTCGTACAGCTCGTCAAAGGCGTTCTCCGGAACGTTGGTCCAGTCGGCAGCCTTGTAGTTTCGCAGCTTTGCGGCGTTCTCGGCGCGCTGGCGGGCGGCCTGCTCTTTTGAGGCGGCGAGGAGGGCTTCTTGCCGCTGCTTCTCGGTCTGGTTGTTTGGTGTGTAGCGCGGGTCTCGTTTTCGCACGAAGGCGACAAAGGACTGTCTCATCCGTCAGCCATGAAGCCTATACAACACGGGGGAGGGAGAAGGGGGAAGAGCGCCATAAACATACCCTCACGATATCATTAAACTCCCGTATCGCCGCATCCCTCAGCTTCTTATTCTCCGCCTCCATCATCCTCTTCACGCGCCTATCCGGCGCATCCGAGTACCGGTACATATCACACCAGCTGAACGTCTTCGCGGTGCGGAAGTTCCCCCACTCAACATAAAACGCCTTCACCCAATCCGCATATTCACTGCTTGCCCCCCCAAACCCCGGATAATGCACGGGATCCAGCCCCTCCCACTCAGCGGCCGCCACTTCCTCCTTGGCCAGCTTCGCAAACGCCTGCTCGACAACCACGTAGAACGACTGCGGGTGCGAGGGCTCGTACGACAGCTTGCGCCCAAACATCGAGAACCACCGCATCACATCCTCAGTCGTCGTCACGTTCGTCACGCCCCCGCTTCCTCCTGCTCCGCCGGCACCCCCGCCCCCACCGACATCGTCGTTACGCAGGATGGCGTCGCGGTGAGAGTCGTACCAGGCGCGCTCCTGCGGGTCGGAGATCACTTCATATGCCGCCTGCACCTCCGTGAACAGCCTTGTCGCGCGCTCCGTGTCGTTGTAGTTGCGGTCTGGGTGGAACTCGAGCGCCTTTTTCTTATAGGCCTTTTTGATGCTACACCAACACCATTAGCTTTCCCTCTGCAAGAAGGGGAAAGAGAGCCGCATACTCATCCTGCGTGGCGTCGCGCGCAACACCTAGCAGCTCGTAGTAGCAGGTTTTGACTGTTGTTTCTGGGGCGGCGGCGCCGCTGGGGTCGCTTTCGGCGGAGCTGCCTTGACCCATTGTTTCGGTGGTTGTTTGGTATGTAGTAGAGCGGTGGGTGTGCTGCCTGGTGGGGTGGTGGGGGTGGAAGTGTGAGGTTGTTACTCACTTGTCGACTAAAAATTTGGTAGGGTTTAGAAAGGCTCGGCGGCGGTGGAACCCTAACCCTAGTACTACGATAGTTCCGGGGGATGTGAGGTTAAATCCAGGTGATTATGGATGATTTGCTATGGGCGGTGTAGGTAGAGGCAGAGGTGGACTTGGGTTTGGTTTTGAGGAAGGTGGGTACTAGTGTGGGTTGGCGTAAACCGATAATTCTCTGAGCCCGACGCCCCAGATGGAGGGGATGCTATTAGCTGGTTGATAGAAGGCCTTGTATCCGTTGCTGGATTGTTCCAGAAGCCAGCCAGATATATTCTAGGGGCTATGGAGGTCTAATTAGAAGCTGCGTGATATCCCTTATGAAAAAGCCCGTCCAGTCCTACCCTTGACTGATCCGGTTTCTTCCCACTGGACGAATCGAAGTCCTTTTTACCCGCGATGCACGTCAGGTCTAGCTGGATTAAGAGACTTCATTCGCTTTAGAGAGGCACGTGGACACCGCGGTATATATTCACTACAGGTCTATATCCAAATATAGCAGTTAATTCGAAGAGAAGTATCTTTGGTGATGATTCTATTAGGAGGTTTGGAGGGGACCTCCTTAAATACTCTCCTAGCTTCCCTCAGTGTCATGTACTAATCGGCTCCGTACACCAAAGTCCTATGGCTAAATTAGCTCTACTGAGATAGATATTATACCACCTCTAAGGTATATATGTCCTTTCCCCAACACACCCGTTCTACAAGAGATCTACAGATAACTATGAGTCTAGCAGAGACACGGAGTTAGCATTTCTTCGAAGATCAGTATGTCCGGTCTCGCACTGTCGATTCTTGGCGCGAGTGATGTGCTGTGAGCCAACTGCGGTACTTCTATGTTCGGGGCATGACAAGGCGCGAAGAGTTTGTGGTATACCTTTTCTCGAGAGTCTTGGCTTTGGATATGATACTTCGAGCTAGCTAGAATGGTAAAGACTGGACGCAGTGATTGATTGGGGAGCTAAAAACTGCGCGAGCCTATTTAGGTATAGATTGCATCATGGTTCATCACTCGAGTATCTCGAGACTTGGCAAGATAGCACGACTCGAGAATACATATACGTTTCCGTCAAACCTCAGCACAAAGCCTTGAGGTCCCTGGCACCGCGCTTAAAGATACAAATAGCGCTCCCCTTATTGTGACCTTCATAAAAAGACGGTTTAGAACCCCGTGGAATGAAGTTCCAAAAGACGGACGTTCAAGACAAGACTTCAAGAAAGACATCTCGCTCGTATCATAGAGAAAGCTAGCTATGCCTTACTAGGATTTTTTACACCTTTACTCTAAACTACATGCCCAGCCTACGCAAGAACCGCTGCGTCTTCTCAAGGCAGACCTAACATATATACAGGTGACCTACGTTTCCTCCTCAATTACAGAACCGGGGAGATCTATCCTCTCCCGCGCGGCGGAGAGACGCAAAACGAGCGAGGGGATTACAGAAAATCACCACCAACCTCTCAGATAGAACCAAGAGGTCAGAAAGAGGGCGGATACGAGGAAGATCTCATTCAATTCCTCGGACGACGCCCAGAAACCGAGTGAGACCAATGCTCTCTCCAGGAGGAGGAAGCACAAGCGCTGAAGGGACGGAACTGGGAGAAGGGCAGAGGAGGGACAAACCTAACGCAAAACAGGCCCCTCCTGATCCCCGAGCAGAAGCCCAGAGACCAGAAGAGGCCAGAGACAAAGAGGGAGGGAGGAAGGGAGCGGGCACGAAAACGACCTAACGCAAATTAGCCCCCTCTGGACCCTCGGGCGTTATGCCCAGTGGGTGCCAGAGGAGGCTAATCTACGCTGCCCTGGGGGCAGATGGAGTAGATTTGCACTCACCCCGCTGGCTTTAGACAGGGGGTGAGTGCGGGTGCAGTCGAGTAGCTTGGGGGGAAAAGTTGGGGTGGGGGGGAAACCGTGGTTTATAAAGAAATCGGAACTGGTGCCAAGACTAGTTTTTTTTTGCGTTTTTCGCCGACGTACAGCAGTGGGAAATTTTTTGCTTGGCTGACCTGGGAGGGAGACTGGCTAAGTTGTTTCCTGGGCAGGGGCGGCGAAAGAAATTATGGGGGGAATTGTTGCTGGGTTTTTTTGCCTGCGTAAATTTAAGTTAGGAAACTTGGCTGTGTGTAAATGTCCACACATATACAGTTGCGATTTTCCAAGGTTTAAATTCATTTCCTCTTTGGATATATGATTTTAGTTGCATTAATGTTAGACAATATTAAACTATTTTTAATAGCTTTTAAAATTTGTCGCATTATCTAGGATCAATAAAACACTGATATTAAAATAAAAAATAAACTATTTTGGAGGTCTAACCACAGATACCTATATGTACTTAATCAAGAATCCGGAATTACTGGGTTGGTAATTAGTTTAAGGACTTTGGAATCGTAATCTATATATGTGCAAGTACTTGGTCCTGCCTAGATTTATGGAAACGGCTATAATTTGGTTGTACGCTTTGTTATGCTCTGTAAAGCTTACATGGCATGGGAAGGGAGCATGCCACGGATATCTTCCTTCCTCCAGAATGTACGTCTCATGATTAAATTTGTGCGTATCTAAGACCGTGACCAACAAATATCAGGCGGGCTCTTGACTTGCCACGATCTCACTTTGGTGTCAGCTAGAGGTGGCATCTCTCTTCCTCACTACGATTTTTTTTTCTTGTCTATCTACATACAATTGTTGATCCAGCTCCTTCTCTTAATTAGACTTTCATGGTAGTTTGGGGCGGATTTTTGTAATGGTATTTCATTTATTAAGACTATAGTTGAGAGGAAAAACTAAAGACATACAAACCAATTTTTCTAGACCCTTCTAAAAATGACCCTAAGCAGAAGGGCACGCCACCTCACCCACGCATGCCAAACTATGCCTCTAATAATAGCCTACGTAGAATCAACAGCTCGTCAGTTAAATAATCCAACCAAATAACCAGCTTCAATAAGAGACATTACTTGAATTATCTTGGGGATCGTCAACGCCGTTATCACAATTCGCAATCATCATCATCGTCGTCGTCGTTGTCGTCCTCCTCCTCCTCCTCATCGTCGTCGTCGTCTTCATCCTCGTCGTCATGATCATCATCATCACAATCGTCGCTCTCATCGTCTTCCTCCTCCTCATCCTCCTCCTCATCATCCTCCTCATCGTCCTCATCGTCCTTATCATCATCTATCTCGTCGGTATCAAATTGGCTCTCGTCCTCCTCTTTACTCCGCCCAAGCTTTTCATCCGTCCTTTCTTCAATTCTCTGCCTTCCCACTGCCATCACCTCCACCCCCTGAACAATCTCTTCAATCGGGCATTTGTACTCTAGATCTTTCTCCGTTAGAATCTTTCCGTGTAGAATCTGGCCCATGTGTGTGGCTGCAAAGTTCTGCCCCTTTCGTCGACAATTCATCAGTTTCCTCAGGAATGGGACAGGACTCTTGGTGAAAAGAGTAGGTTTCATTCCCAGCGCAATACGGGTTTTGTCACTTCGCACGAAACCATCACTCTCTGGGACACCTCCCTCCACATGAGGCACATGATCTTTCAAGCACAAGCCAAGAAAACTACCCAATCGCTCGTAGGTCTCATAATCTTGTAGAAATAATTGTCCAGAAAAAATGTTGAGCTGATCCACCAAAGCCTTCGGGATGCTCCACCCAGCTTCTAGAACTGATTCAACTGAAGGTATAGTGCAGAAATTTAAATCTTCAAATGTACGCATAGATTTGGTGACTTTTGGCGCATACATGTGAAGCCTCACGGCATCGTGGGAGATTATGATGGGAAGCAGCGTGTTAATCTCATATGAGCTCATTATCACTAGATATGTGCTTTCAGCGAAGCTTGATACCAGCCAATTTACTGGAGGTAGGAAAGCATTCATATACGAAAATCGTGATCCGTTTGTGGTTGTTGTTGCAAAATCTTTGGTGATTAATAGTCTTTTGCTCCAAGCGTCTTTTTGAAATTCTGATCGCGATTCCTGGAAGAGATCGAAGGCCGGGACAACAGCTGTAGATCCTTCAGAGAGCAGACCTGTCTGGACAAATTTTTTGATGTCTGGGTGGACAGCATGACGCCTTGCGGCTACGGGACTAGGCAATTCCCTTTGTTGCTCACGTTCAACTTCAATCTCCAGCTCTCGTTCTTGTTCTTCGTGCACCTCAGATCCCCTCAGCGACGTGATAGAAAATTTCTTACAGTTTTCTTCGATCAAAGAGATTTCGTGATGCCGTTCTTTTGGAATGGTTCCTGCATGGAATCGTTCTTTTCCCGATTTTAGCGGTCCAAATCGCTCTTCCAGTGATTGTGCGTCCGGTTCTACCATTATTGATTCCATTTGCTTGATATCCCTGTGCTTCCAAGCCACATTCCGGTTTTGATAACTGATCCCTTGTCTTGCCCATGTCTGCACAGTATTCTTGGTGCTGATAAAGGTTTCATGCATTGACCACCGCAATACGTCTGAGACGCTAACAGAATCCACTGAGGTTTTTCTTGCGGTTACAAGGATCTTCTGATGAATCTCTGGGGGCGCGCAGAAAATTACTGACTGGCCTTGACCGAGCTTCCGCATCCTCATACACGCTGTATAATACTTAGCGAGTATCTAATAGCTTTTAATACGATTACTGACCTTGTACAAGTCTGTCTTTTGTCAGATTTGGGCCCAATGTGACTGCCGCCCTGGTCTCCTTTGGTAGCTTTAGGTCTGTACCTCGTGTGTGTACCTCATCAAGATATACAAGACACTCATCCATCTGTTTAGCAAATGCGGAAACCATCAATGGCTCCGGGTGTCCATCACGAGTAATGACAGTAAGCTCATCTTCTTCGTTGAAATAAACGGAAGCCTTGGACTCTGGTACACGACTGAGCCAATCCCTTGCTACTTCAAAGTTTCGCTTTTCTAACACTTGAGCCCCTACATCAAGGAGCACCCGTATCTGCGGATCCTGTTGAACCAATTTATCCAGTAAACTATCAACATCAAGGCGTTGTTCATTTTCACCCTTAGCACATAAGTAACTATTTTCCGGCTGCAATAGATAACTGAGTACTTTGGCATTTGTACTCAACTGCCCCTCAGATTCATGCTGTTTAATCGATAACGGGAGAAGATGTCGATTATCGTTTGTACCGCTAAAGCCAGTGGTTGGATGACTTTTTGTTTCCGCAATATCCCAACCTGATGAAGACAATTTGTGTGGAAATTCTCTCACTTCTTTAGGGAATACCACCCAAGCTAGGTAAAAGTCAATGGCTGCTTTATTGTGCCGAAAGCGAGGAAATATAAAGTTCGTGCGCTGGTGTTTATCAACCAAGTTGATACCACTTAATTCTCGGAAAATCATTGGTAAAGTAGTATCCTTTTCTACCCAAATTGCGTACTCCATTCCTGGGTTGTCAGATTTTAGAAGGGTCGCAAAGCAATGTTCCAGCTGTGATTCCGTCAGGCCAGCGTAATAGTAACTAAGACAGGTGAGAGTAATTGCAACGTCTGGATGGCTGAACTCTGCCCTCTGCGCTGGACAATCCTTAGCCCGATATGGGACAGCCAACATCGAGCGGCTTAAATCCAAACCATACTCTACTCGCCATCGTTTTTTCCCTAACGCGTTGCATAGAATCTCACCGGCTATCAATCCTCTCAATAATAGTAAGGTAAGTCTTGATATATCGTCCATATCCTTGAATAGAGGCTCGCTTTCAGCCTCCGTCATACCCTGTTTTGTAACAAATTGAATCGCTAATTCGCGGATGTAATCGGGAAACAGTCTAAAGGAAACCGTTTTGAGACGACCAGCGAAGACGTCTTCTGTGATTCGTGACATCAATTCATCACTGGATTTGGGCTCCAGAATACGGGTTGTCGGAAAACTTCCCGGAAAGCTCTGGGGAATGCCCTTTACTTCTACACCTTCCATGGCCTTGGTATGCACCTGTATTCGACCAAAGATCTCCTGCACAATGGTCCAACGATTTGGAGAAAGTTCGACTGAGGTACTAGCTCCAACTGTGTATATGAGCTCGTGCTTTGTGTGCAGTATCTCATCGCTTTCGTCCAGGATGTCCCGCGAGTTCCTCTCAAGCCAGCGTTGGCATCGAATCAACGCCGAGGCAACATCTTTATCTCCTTGAGGCATGAATAGGAGGTCAAGTCCCATAAGTTTAAAGGATAACAGATGCTCTGGTTGAACCAGAAGAATCCCTCCAACCTCCATGCACTCTTGATACAGATCCTGGATATTTCTCACGGCCTTCTCATCCAATTTTACCTGCCGAGAGAAGGGCATATAGAATATCCGTCTGTTTGCTAACCCGCTCAATTTTTGTACAAGTAAACGGAACATTTGTCCAGACAATGGTTTCAAAACAACGACCCGAACAAGTTTCTTACCATCCGCTAATGCTGCAGAAACAATGGGCACAATCACCGAAGATTTTCCTTCGCCCATATTCAACTGCAAAGTCTGGTTTTTTCCCGAAGAAGGTGCTATCATTTCTAGCGCAATTTGCGTCTGGACAGGGCGCACGAGGAGGTTATTATCAATGGATATGAGAAGCCAATCCGAGTAAGCAACTTGATTTCGTCCTTGGCCACCAGGGTTTTCTGATTCTCTCGCGAAATCATCACCTCCGCTCTCAGAACAATCGAGAAGACGCTCAGCGCGTTGAAACATAGTAACTGCTTCGCCATATACTATGAGCACTTGCCTCCATCCAGGGCTTAAATCCACTGAAGCATTGCTCGCTAACCGTTGAAGCAATGATATGGGCGATATGTTTGGCCAAAGACCTGTCATACCGATCAGATCTTGAATTGCTGATACCGGCCCCAATGCTTTCTCGATAATTTTGAATATCGACTGCATACGATTTTCGAACTGCAATCGATGTTTCAATAATGCTTCCTTTGAAGGTAACCCCGAAACCACCGCGGCGCTTTTCTTATGGAGAGCTTCATAACTGTTTAGCATGTTCTTAGCATACTCTTTCTCGAACTGGTTGGAATGTGCCGCTTCAAGCTCCAGTAATAGTGACTTCAGCTCGTTTTCGCCTTGAGAAATTGCGGGTTGTGCATTGATAGGGATTGGAATATCGGTAACATCGGGTGGGTTTCTCGAAAATATTCCTTCCAAGGTGACCTTGGAATATGAAGGAGCTCTGATTTTTTTATTTGAATCAAAGGTGTATTGTGGGCGGGTCTCTTTCAAACCCAGGTTCATGTTGAGCAGCTCTTTCTGAACCTCATCAATATGCCGCAAAAACTCTACATTTTTGTAGCAACTCTGGAATATCGGTACAATAAGACTCATTACTTTTTTCAGCTTAAAATGTGTATATACTCCCCTGGAGGCTGTCGGCGGATAAGAGGGCGTATAACAAGGCCATTGAGCTTGCAAAAATGAAAATAAAACTTCTGCCTGAGACATCAAATTATTTTCATACGTATCTCTCCGGCGCCGTTGTAGTGATGTAGCATTTTCTCCATGCTTCTTTGAAAGACGGGCCTCCTGACTAGACTCAAACTTAATCGCATGCATCTCCACTAACCGTATATCCAATTGGGGTCTTTCCCCATCATGTAAATCGTAGGATGAGTACGGTGGCGGATTGATACGTGAGAATTTTTCATTTGTTGCGAATGCCAGAAGCGTGCCAATGATTGACATATCTTGTTTCCCTGAATACGCCATTGTGCATAATGTAAATATCAACCGATATCTCCTCTCATGCATGGTAGTTCTTCGAAGAGTGTTGTATAGATCAACCCAGCAAGAATCGAGGCTTAGGTCCAGAACACTGCGATTATACTGAAGCTCTGTAACTTTAGTGGAAGCCCCACAAATCCTTTCCCAGCGCTTGAGTAAGCCTTTTAAATCATTGTGTGTTGCTAGATTTGTGGACCAGTTTTCGATAGATCTTGCAGTATCCCAGACATCATTCTTTAGTTTGTCGTTTTGAGGAATAAAATCCCGTGAAGAGTAAATCGAATCGTTAAGTTCGGTATAACTTGCGCCCCCAAACTCGTCCCTTCGAATTGTAGCGTTACGAATGGCCGCTCTCACTAACAGATGATCGCTAACGTTGGATGGAAGGTCCTCCAGATCCAACGTTTTATCATCAACTCTAAGCATATGGAAGCGGCGTGCGTATTTGAAAATTGAGGTAACAAGCAATTCAAAGTCCTCGTGCTGTGTCAGGTACGGAAGAGGTTTCCATTTTATCGTCTGCATAACCTTCTTATGTTTCGGATAATAGTCGCGAGACGGGGTGAGTGACATTATTAGCTTTAGAAGTTTGATCTCTACTTCCCCCAGCTTTTGGAAGGACCATGTGGTCGCTGATTTGAGATTTGCTAGCGCCTCTTCAGTGCCTGTACGTCGAGTAAGCTCATCAGGTAGACAGTGTGTAGTCAAGGCGTGGAGGTATATTTTAAAGAGATGGCTGGTTAGGCTGTCATTTCCCACGAGTCGCCCGAGTCTTGTATCGATCGTGTAGTGAAGATAGGGTACTCTATCTAACTCATCCATATCCGTCTCCACACCAACAGTAACATGATTTCCTTTGGTTTTATACCAAACATCTCCATAGGGAATTATGATGCTGCGTACCGACTTCTGACGCATAACAAGCCTATTCACGAGGCCAGTGAATGTTCCAATATCTTGATTAAAATCAACGACCATACCCCGGAATTGTCGACACTCAATCTCGCCTTTCTCATTTATAAAAAAATCCATTTTTAGTCGAGGTAGATGAATTAAGACTGTACGAGTGTCAAGTGCAAAAGTTATGTCGATATATTTCGGTGGTTCCAACCTACCCAATACTGAAGTGATCATTGAGAATGAAGCTTTCCGAATGTCCATCATACGCTCATTCCGCAGCGCCATGCGAGAAGCCAATCCCAAATAACTTAAGCGCCAATTCGTGGCTGATGATTTCCACGGGTCAGATTTAGGCCTGAACTCGAGAACTCGTGTCTTAATTTCCAGCCAATGGAAGTAGTTTTTGGTAAAGTGTACTGGAAAATCGCCTTGTAACTTTGTATGGGGTACAAGCTCATATTCGGTCCCATCAATCTGAGCTTTTATGAGAAGTTCATCCCCTTGCATCCCGAAATGTACCTTTCAAATCCGTCAGAAACCTAGCTACTATGATCAAAGGCGTGGGGATAGACCTGATATCCGAAGACTTGGTGCCGGGCCTGGAACTGCATCCCTGGGAGATTTGACGGGAAAACGTCAAAAACTTTCTAAAAAGCGAACACTTGTTAGCTTTACCTACAACTTTACTAAATCCAACGCACTAACCTCCAAAAACAACCGTGTATAGGTGGGGTGTAAAATATAGTCTGTCCCCATTCTGCCAAGCGGCAACCCATCGACAAGTAGCTGACCACTAAGCAAGTTGTATTGTACCTCCTGTGAAGTATTTCCAGATATTGCAGCAGTCTTTGTTTTTATCCATCTGCTGTCGGACATACCCCATAGTGACCCTTGTTTATACGCTGACCACATCCTCAAAATACATCTATTGAGACCATCATTGCTTGAAAATATTAACCGTTCAAGATGTTCTTTAAGTGCGGCAGATAATCTTCGGTCTCTATCCAGGAGAAAGTGTGTTTGAGGAGAGAGATGATCCAACTTGGGAGGAGTGTTGTTGTGAATGATGATGGCACATTCGACTAAAGTTGCGACATCTGCTCCCGAGCTAAGAACATGCCAAAAATCACCGTGATCAACATCATAGGTCGCTCGGCATATAGCAGCCATTTCTAATGCCCGAATTTGCAGGTCTTCCAGCTGATCTTCCTTTTCGCATTTCTGTATGTGGGTGGTCAACTGACGGGTCCACTTTAAGGTCACAGCACGAGCCCGGCGCAACAAGCAAAATGCGCAATTCCTAACATCCAAACTACTCGCTACAGTTAAAAGACGAGTAGTTAACCATATTATTGACTTTGCAGAAACTCCCTCCAACCAATTGGCCTCGATACTGGTAAGCATACTACCAAGTTCTTGGAGGAGATTGTGCCCAAAAGCAGTGTCTTCAAGTATTGTAAAACACTCCCGGGTTGCACTCGGATTTTCAGTGTTGGGAGGTCCTGTATACCATGCAGCTTGCATGAGGAGAATATTCACAGCCTCATTTCTAAAGGTTAGTGTGCGAGTTCTCAACTCTCTAACGATATTCAACCACTGGAGACGATGTCCAGCCCTTAAGAAGCCAAACGCTATATATTCATGGAAGGAGAGTGCTTTCGGACATTCGTGTTGTCTCGAAATAACCTCATTGGGAGTGTGCCTCGTAGAATTGATTGTATACTGTAGTTTTTGGTAAGGGCCTTCGGGAAGCTTAAAGGTGCATATATTCTGTATGTCACACTTATCAGCACCTACACGGCCATCTATCCAATACGATCCAAAACTATCCCATAGCCCATATTTCAGAGCATTATCGACACAAACAGAGCTGGAATTGTTTGTTAAGCAAATCTTCGCGTAGTGTGATTGTGTAGTCGCCTTCGTCACTGATGAAAAACGGAGTCGTTGCTGGCTTCGGCATTTGAAGTATTGTCGTAAACCACTATAAGTATAGAGATCTGTAAAGGGCTGTGTATCAGGATGTTCCAGAATCAAAGGCGGGCTGAGAATGTCAACCATGACTTGGTAAGTGGCGTCTCTCCAAGCACAAAACCCAATAGGGCATTCGAGCTCAAAAACAACCATTGCAAGACAATCTGAATCTCTTGGTAGAGGCCATTCATGAACTTGGATGCTAAGAGTACTTGCATACTTTTTCCATCTACATTTATAACACTCTGGGTCATGATAGGCCTTTCTCCCCCCATCACTGTGAATGTAATCGCATGGCCGCTCTGCCACCCGGGCGACTGCGTCGTTGTAAAGCCGACTCTTCTCCTCGAACTCCTGAATTTTCTTTTCCCTCTCTGCAGTTGCATCCAGCTCAATTTTCTTACGAATCGATTGATGCTTCGGAGAGTTGAGATAGTAGCGCACAGCAAAGGTTTTCTGATTGGCCTTATTGGAAAATATGCATGTCGCATTTCGATCGGCCTTTTCACGGCGCTGTTTTAGGTATGCTTCAACCCGATGTAGGCGTTCTATCTGATGATACCGAGGGAGTAGAAGATGATTGAATGGGTGGTTTGCAAATTCTGGGAAAAAATATTCTGACAAGAGTGAACACGTATTCACCGCAATCTTGTCAAGGGCAACCCATAGCTCCATCGTAGTTAATATAAAGATTGACATGCTTTCTGGATTAGAAGCATATGCCTGTTCCCCATAATGCGCATACACCTCAATCTTTAAGCACAGTATACGACAGGCGTCTTCATTCTGTAGATTCCTCATAACCCAGCCATCGAGACTCTCCCGAACCCAACGTTCAAAATCTGCAAGAAGAATTTGAATTTCAGGTGCACTCTTATCTCCGACCAGCAATGGAGGAAGATCTTTAGATTTGGGATCAATACGTCTCTCCTCATTCGGGACATGTACTTTTGACCTCACAGTAGTCGGTACCCTAGAAACTACTGCCGCAATATATGCCCCGCTTTGAACCAATGATAATTGTGTATCGTCATCAGAAGAAAGATCATGAGGCGTCCATTTGAAAGGTGTTGAATGAACCTGGTTGATTTGTTTCCACCTATGCCCCAAGAACTGGGCAACTTTACTTAATTGGCCAGATACCTTCTTCAACAGAAATTCTGGCAACCCTCCCCTTTTGCCCATTTTGAATGTACGGCGCCCCAACTTTGCATTCATAATGAATAAAGTATCGCTTGGTAGGCTTCGATTTAACGCAATCTCCAAAATGTCTGTCATAAAGAAGACCATGAACGCTTTGTATTGAAGGTATCCTGAGATTTCAGTGGGGCGATCAACTGTAGATTGCAAGGCAACTTTGATAGTAAGCCAAAAAGGAGACCTTCTCCAAGGTAGTTCTGCATCATCCCATAAAACGTCATCTGCAATTCTTTTCTGGATACGGTGGACTTCTGCAGGTTTCCCGACAGCTAGCAATATTTCGTTAAGAAGCTCCGTTATGTACCTTGGATGGGTAGTTTCTCTGGTTTCAATGTGATCTGAGCCACCCTTCCGGGATTTAGACATCGCATCTTCAAGTTCATCGACGTTCATTTTCTCGAGGAAGCGCGAAAGCTCTAAACGAAACTCAACGTTCTTGGCCTTTTCGATGCTTACGGCAATGGCGGGACCAGGAAAGGAGCACAGTAGTCTCCCCTGACACTTCATAACATCTTCAGCTTTTGGAGAAGCTTCGAACGCTTCGAAAATGATGTCTTCTTCCGTTTGACGCAAAATAAGTCCAGCATTTTGCGCTTGGATATGCAGGGCTAAAACATCTATAGAATTTGTTAGCAAACCCTAGATACATCATGATTGTGGAAGTATCACCCCCAGTGCGCATGTTGCCTATAGCCTTGTCCAAATCCCGGCTGGACAAGCATCCTCTTGGCTGGATTTCTTCCATCATTGAAAGCATTCGTATGCCTGAATCCCATTGTGATTTTGATGCTGTCAAACCGTCCTGGTATGCTTTTGCAGAATTCTTGATCAGCCCTAGGAGGCTCTGAATCTTTGGTTCAATATCTACATCTGCCTTGCAGGGCAGTTTCGGTGGGAGAAAGACATGATTGATGATATATCCCAGAGTAGAGCCATCAATTTTTTCTGCGCAATGTAAAGTAAGTAGATGTAACGTATTGAATAATCAATCATTTTTGAAAAACACGTGTTCATTAAATCTTGAGATTATCTAAAAGACCGTACCTGGCATGTTTGTTTTTGTGGAGAATACCACAGTTGTACAAATTTAAACTGTGGGGTCGGGCAGTGTAGGGGAAACTTTTTTATTTTCGGAAGAGTGGTGATACGATTTATCTCGGAAATGTAGTGCTTAGTATGGAGGGGAGTTAACGCTGTGTGTGTGTAGTGGTATGATGGGGATATATGGGTGGGTGTGGTGATGCCTTGCGTTGGTTACCTAGATCCAGCTCATGCGCGCGCATAACAGCTCAAGTGCAGAAATCTTTCACTTGTCGGATTACATGTACTTATCTGGATTAGAATGAGTGATGCCTAGGATGCATAAGTGAACCAAGATGAACAGGAAAATGAACTATTTTAAGTACCCAAACCGAATAGGGAAATTTATCGTTGTTGTCTTTTAGCCTTTCGATTCAATATGGAAGCTAGCTAGACACTTCACCTAAAATCCATATATATAACATACACCATGCCTTTGCAGTGCAGCTATGAAACCCAACGTCTCTGGGACAACACTGTTTGTCTGCGGCTTTGAGGCAAAATGCTCACCATTCGGCTTCAACAGGTCAGTTTCTGAGATTTATAAAGGAATAACATATAAGCTATTATATCAAAATGACAGGAGTTGACAAACCATAGGCCGATAATATTCCCCGCATTTATCAGGAAAGTAAATTCCAAAACATACGGAAATAAAGATCCCAAGGAATCAAGTATCCAAACGAGTAAATATTTACAGCTAGGAGAAAGGTAAGATCAAGGGATGAAATTACAGAAAAACATTAAGAAAAACGCCGCGAGAATTCGCCAATAAACGCCATGCTAAAATACCCCTAGACCAAACATGAAAGAAGGGGTCCAAATGCAGACTCCCAAAGATCGACTACATGATTGCACACGAATCCCTCGATGACCCTCCAAACATATCATGATGAACTGATTTCCATTGCTCCATGGCAACCTCTTTCTCATTCTCTTGCTGCTTTAGCTTTGCCTCTTTCGGAAAGTACTCTTTCAGAAAGGCCAGCAAGCTCACATCCAAGTTTGTCGAGTCAGCTGTTAGCACTGCATCACTCCGACACATTGGACAGCGGCGGGTCTTTGCACGCTGGAGCTTGACGAGACAGCGGACACAAAAGACGTGGGAGCAGGAGAGCCGCACGGGCTTAACGGAGATTGAGGAGCAGATAGGGCACAAGTAGTCATCGAGTTGAGGGATGAGATTTAAGAGGGAAGAAGACATGGTGTAGCAGATTGCTTTTGCCAGATGAGACGCAAGGAAGGAGTCGGAGGAGATAAATTCTGGGAAGGTTTCACGGGCTCCTAGGGCGGTGCGTTTGTCGAATTCTAATTATTAACTTAGTGGGAAGCTCTGACTGATGAAGACAGCAGTGGAGGGAATACTCTTTAGAATCTTGGTCATAGCGATTTTGTTGATTGCTTGGAACCGCATCACCCTCAATACATCCATGTTTATACCCATAAAACGACGCAGCAGGTTCGAGCTGTAGGGGTTCTTGAACTTGGTTTGCAACCCCAGCCTGAATATTTCCTTATTGAACCACGCGAGTTGCTCTTGTGCTTTCTCTACCGTTCTTTCCTCGTGGTTTTCACATTCTAGGTTTGAGAAAAATATACCACTCTCCACGTATACCCGGAAAATTTCACGCCATGGGTATAAGTCGGACTTTGAGTTTGTGGACTTGGGGGCTGCAACCCCGGTGACGGCACCACCAATATCAAGCACTTTCGATTTGATTTCTGTCTCGGCTCGATTTTGGAGTGCTTCCAGAGACGCTAGCTCGGAGGTCAAAAGATGAAAAAACTCCGAGTCCGAATAAAGAGTAATCTCAATGTTTGAGACGCTAAGGATGTTAGATTATAGGTTATGAACCAAGAGGATTCTGTGCGGCATACCTTCTCTTCTTACATGGATGAGGGACAGGCAACCCGGAACCTGGGAAACTTGTTTCAAGTCCCGGACTATCGGGCCCACTGTCAGAATCTGATTGGCACTCTTCATCGTCGTCCAACTCCAGAATCGTTATGTTCCCAAGCTTCTGTTGAACTATGTTTTCCAAAGACCTTCTGGTCTCCTCCGATAGGTTTAGATCTAATGGTATCCCGTTTACGGCGTCTATGGTCAAGACAAGTTTCGGCTGGAAGCATTGGACAGTACCTATCGCCCAGAGATCAGTATCAGGGGTTCAGTCCGGAGAGCTTCCAAGCGGATCATTACCGTCAAAAAGATATTGAAACAGAGGGCTATGCTTGGCTGCTGGATCGATGGGATCACTATTCTGCTGAACAAGGCTTCTCAAGATCTCTGCGGTGAGTCCCAGTTCACATAGTTCTTGCTGGACTTTCTTTATGCATTTCTTGAGCTGCTTGTATCGAATAGCAGCAGCCTGCCAATCTGCCGGGAAGTCCTCCTCGTCGAGAACCTGGGAAAAAGAGTGGGCAAATTTCATGGTGACAAATCTTAAAGTTTGGGCAGGTGATGGTGTCTCGGGCAGGATTTACCGAAGATAGGTGGGTGGGGTTGCGGCAGCGGACAAAGTCTCAGGTCTCGCTCGTTTCCAGGCACTTGGGATGACTCGTGATGATATAGTGTAAATGTAAATAGATCGACTACACAACACTCGGAAATGGGGGGAAACGTCTGAATTTATTCAATCGTGAGACTCTAGCGAAAAACGCCCTAATAGCGTGGCGAGGTAAAAATAACAAGGCGAGGAAAAACCACGAGGTCTTCCTTGCGAGAGGGTTTTTCTATCTCCCACTTCCCCCCTCTGGTAACTGAGCACGCGACAGTTTTCCTATAGTAGTCAAGCGGAGGTTTGATTCGCAGATGAAGGCTTGCAGCACCCCCCAATTCAGCACCGTTTGTGCGACACCGGTTCCAAGAAACGGGGTAAGATTTTGTGCGGTGGCAAGTTCCAACCAATTAGGCTGACTTTGCAGGAGGCCTGGAAAACGTGTATGCGGATCCTAGAGGAAACTTCGGAAGCGAAGCCCGCTTGAGGGTTGACATAGAGGCTCAGACTCGAGTCCAGAAAATTTTCAAGAACTTTGAAGGCAGTTCAGAAGCTTGAGGACTTCTGAGATATTTGTGCGCGTGTATAAAGGCTGTGTTCACGAGTCACTGCGGGCGCTTACTCCTCGGGGAGACAAGCGGATTACGAGATGCCAATTGCTGTGCCTGTTGGACCAAGCAATGCCAAGCTTTTTGACACTGGAGATCCTCTGAGTCTCTAATGTTGTCTAGCCCCAACCTTGGGATTCCGAAGGGTCGCAAATCTTCTGAGGAAGCAGCAGAGGTTAACATTGTTACCCATTTCCTCTACTTCTACTATCTATTTTGCCATACTTTTTGCCTTCATAAAGAGACTGTTGGCTCTAAAATGACAGTGGAGTAGCTATCGTCAGATTCAGGCTGAGTGGTTACTCACCTTCTGTGTTCCTGCGGGGTATTATACGACAGAGTTTATATCAGTAGCCTCTTCTTGGCCCTAATACATGTGTATAGAAGGCTACAGAGTCCAGAGGGGTTTTTTCGGTCTTGTTGCATTCTCTACCTTGCCCAGCCTATTAGGCACTGTATGCAGAAGCCGCATGTCAGGCAACATACATCGATACACGATAGAAATGAGAAAAACATCACTGACTTCACACGAATCAATCCTTTGATACATGTATGTATCTAATATGTATATGTATGTAGATAACAGATATCAAAACTCAACTGCTCGAGATTAAAATGACGTATTCATTATTAACCCTACATACATCCTGAGTCCTGAGAGAGCACCCTGGACTCCTTGTCGGGATTTTCTGTGGGCAAACCCTAGGTTTCGATTCTTATATTTTACTATAAACTACTCTTCTCCCCTACACCCCCCTTTCTCTCCCTATGCGATTTTACTTCATAGGATCATTTCTATAGTAAACCGCCTCTTCTGAACTCTTTACCAGAGCCACAGAAATCTCCAACCTGGGGGATGACGGTATCTCCTCAGTGCCCAAGAGTGATGCCGTTTTGTCTCTGCTTCGGCAGTGGTGGCTATGATCTCGGCCCTTGTCTCTCGTTCGCTCCTCTGGAGTTGAGGGGCAAGGGTGGGTGCTGATGGAAGTCTGACAGGTCTTGTCATATCTTTTGTCTTGTATGACTAAACCTAATGCAAAATAAAATTAAAGCCACTTAACCATCATAAAATTCTCAAACTCCAATAAACTAATTTCGAGTGTTGTGCAGTTGAGCATCTACTAGGCAGATAAAGCTCCCCACCACCATCACATGCGCAATCATCACAGTACATGGAAACATAAAGCAGGAACCAATAGATACATGGAAACCCCGCATCCCAGGACTAGGCCTGCTCGGCGAATAGCGACAACCACCCCCGGCCTGAAGTCCTGCACGATCTTAGATCCCCCAATGTGCAGATTTACGGGAATAAACTGACCAGAATCATGGTACAGCCATGCGCTCTATCTACATGGGATAAAGAGACATACCCGTACCCAACGCACAAGGAGTTGAACGTGCGTGATCTGCGGAGTGTTTTACAAGGATATGGCCTGTTTACATCACCTGATAGGAGCCCAACGAGGTCGAAAGATGCTCGCGCAAACATCACCGCATTTTTCAAGGACTTTAATCCGTTCATATGACCCTCTCACTACCCATTACCAGATTGATTTCCTGATAATCATTGTCTTCAACTTTAACTGTGCTAGTGTAGGCGTCTACAGTTCCTACACATGGCGCTAAAAATAAGCAAAATTACTTATCTTAAAAGCGATTTAGGATCCGAGGTATAGAAGAACTGTGTGTAGTTTTACTGATTATTCCCAGCGCCGGTATCCACAAATAGAGACCATATTAAAGCTATCAATTTATACCAACCATCCTATACAAAACTCCTAATGAGAGCCCTTAAATAACCCCTATCAAACAAGCATAAAAAGATCGAACGCCACAACAGCAAATCCCCTTGATGTAAAAATGTCTCAATCGAAGTGATTGGGTTCCCTATTAAGTCTGATAGTCCCCCGAACGTAAATATTTAGGTCGCCACAGGCGCCCTCCCCATCACCCCTATGATTTTCGAGTCGGCATGTCTATTGGAAAGAATGACAAACAACCTGTTATTTAGCTCCGCTTTGGTACCCGTAACATGTACATCCTTGTTGGTTTTTCCATGGAACTCAAGATTTCTCTTCAGAGCTGGCAACGTCAATGCATCCACTCTGGCGGGATCCTGCACATAGTCGTCCGGAATATCAACCATATATTTCTCCTGCCGCGTGTTGAGATAGTTGATGCATTGCTCAGGAACCGATAACAAGCGGCAAGACTGTGGAAGGACGCCCTGTACGAGACGCCGCAGACCAGGCATTGTGATCGATGTCCCCCGGAGGTAAATGGCAGCAAGGTTTGGAAATGCCGATAGAGCAACGCGCGCATCATCGTCAACCAATGGATTGTGGGATAGGTTTAATCTCTTTAATGTATGTCGATGGCACACAAGGTGGTGGAGTGACTGTGTTCCCACGCCAGTTCCGGTGAGGTCTAAACTCTCAAGATGAGAAAGTAGACGGAGGGAGGCCACGTCATCATTCAATAACTGCGTATTTCGAAATGAGATTACTGTGAGATTGGGGAATTGATCTTGTTGAAAAAGCTTTTTTACTATTTCACTAAAAGGTTCTCGGATACTAAACTCGCCAAAAGGCGCTGCTTGGGACGAAAGTTCAAGTGATGTAAGCTTTGACGCACGAAAGCAATCAAGTAGCTCCGGAGTCCAGCAATCTAGAAAAAAAAAATTTAGCTCGGCTCTGTAGTGATTTCATTGAAAGACCCAACGAGTGAGGTACCATTTTTGGTTATAAAATTGGCAGCGTCCTGGGCCGCATCTTTAACCGCAAGTGAAATGAGTTCATCGAATGTCTTAGTTGGTAACTTTTCTTTCAACGTTTGATGCAAAGAATTTGAAGTATTGGAAATCTCCTGCAATGGGGATCTTGTTGAAGCTGCAATAATATATTAGAATTAGCCCAGCGACAAGTAATGTCTATTTTTTTTTAGAGACAGAGCAAGCCTTACTGGGCTCCAGGGGTTTGGCCTTGTCATTAGTCGGCAAGTTCGCTCTCTTGCGCTTGCGAGTAGGTTGCTTTCCATAAAACGACTCATCCTTATCGATTGTGCGTAGGAAGGAGCCGTCACTGGAGCTCGGGTTGGTAGCCTTCTCCTTCAGGGCGACACGTCTTGTTCGTGGAGCCGCGGCAGTGGCAACTGGAGATCCTTTTCTAACACGAGTTTTCTTTCGCGGTGGAGGTAGACGATGGGAACTGTCATTTTCATGTCTCTTGTTGTTTTCGTTGTCGTCTTCGTCGCAGCGTCCATTGTTAATAGCGATGGGCGGTGGTGTTGACGCTACCTCTGATCCATCTTTAAACACGGCCATTTCAGCTGTTCTTTTGCGAACCATAGTTCCAGCACCTTCGACGAGTAAATAGAATTTTTGAGTTGATAGTGGGTCCTATTATTTGTACTGGTGGATACATTTAAATGTAGTTAATGACTTCAGTGCTAGTAATGTGGTGTTGCTTCGTTTCTCGATGTTACACTGCAGGGTCTGGGACTTGTGCTAAACCGGAAGCGTCCGCAGCTGACGTTATCCTGGCACAGATCACATAGAAGCTTATTATTCAGCAGCAATAACCACATATTCTCCCGACCCTACGAAATGATTCTTGAGACGTATGTACCTGGAAGTCTTCAATTTCCAAATTAAGTATTAGCATTGATAGTAAAGCATCTTGTTCGTGTGGGCCGGGGTCTTGGCAGAATTTGCCCACATCTTAAATTTATGAATTCAAAGCCACATAACCCCTTATATCTCTGATCAATTGAAATATGTCTTGAGAGTGCATGTATGTACTTCTGAGTAGTATCTCATTTTATCCTGAGAGTTTCATGGTTTTTGAAAGCTCGAGAAGTTGTTTATATATTAGATTTGGTCACGGATTGTGATTCGGACCGACCGCCTGAGTTAGCATGATTAACGTCATCACTCAAATAGCTAACAAGGCCCGCCACTTCTACGCTTCCCAGATCACGCCAAAAGCTTGCCTCCACCATGACTTCGGAAGTTTCGCTACTATCTATACCCGACGAAGTTCTCATAGATGTTATTAGATACATACCAGACGATGACATCTTCAATACTTCTTGCGTATGCAAGAAGCTCTACAATATCATTAACTCGCCATTACAATGGAAAGAAAGATGTCTCAAGTTCGGCTACTGGGAGCCGAAACACAAGATAAAAGCCAAAATCAACAATCCGTTGCCATTAGAAGTGGATTGGAAGTCGTTGTTTGTATGGAAATGGCATGTCAACAGTCAAACGGCCAGGCTGTTGGGTGAAATCACATCCTCGTCCGCACATCGCATTCCAAAGTTCCACGAGATTGGAAGCTTTGATTACGATGCAAAGGAGTACCTTTTGGATCAAACAAAGGCTTCGAAAGATTTAGAAGATGTACTTGCACGAAGGTAACTAATCAAATTAATATGTCTCCTCCGGATGATAAGCTAATTACATTTATCTCTCAAAGATGGTATGCAACATCAGCGCTTCAGTTTCTACATAGAAGACGGGCTGTACAAATTCTACGGAGGATAGTTGCCGGTGAAGATGTTTCAATTGAGGAAGGACTCAGTTATTTCGATCTTTTTAATATGGAGGCAGACGAGAGTAGTCCAGAGGAGGCTGCTCAGATCCTCGATGACCTAGCTGCCCGTTTTATATCCCAAACACCAAGTATGAGCCAGCTGTCAACCAAGGAGAAAGTACTAGTCTTGTGTGAATTTATGAAGCAGGAAGGCTTTCGGGCGGCTACTTCTGAGGAGTATCGCAAAGTCCAGAGTGCCTACATCGGCATATCGTTACGTACGACTCGAGCGTACATTCCTCTACCATATGCCGCCATCTTTTGCAGCTTGGCGAAACGAATTGGACTTGACGCTCACATGTGCGGGTATCCATTCCATGTCCTGGCGATAGTCAAGGAAGATAATGGTGAAAACATCTACGTTGACCCATCTTGTAGTAAAGGAGATGAAAGAATACGTGATCTCAATAAATTAAAAGATGACCTTCAGGGGTTGGCCGAAAGTATAGAAGATCATGTCCGCCCATCGCCTACACAAGATATGATCATTCGCACATGCCAGAATATTTTTCAGAGCCTACGACATGGAATCAATTATGTCGTAGCAGTTGAAGGGCGCCGACATTCGGCGGCACTGTCTCGCTCGGATATGTACGCTTCATTAATAGCCTCGATACTATTAGGACGACAACGCGGGGTTGGTGGTATTTCTCGTGACCTGCTTACGTTTATGTCTGAAGATGTGTATATGGATGTCTGTTTTCTGGAGGAGGATATCTTTCGGATGGCGGGGGCAAATCTGGCACTCAGAGAATTAATAAGTCGAAAGTGTACTTATCTTCGGGAGCTTGATTCGGCCGTAAAACCTCCAAGGCGAAGGTCGGAAGAGAAGAAGGCTATTAAGGTCAATCACCTATCCCCCTTCCTATATCACAGTTTACCTATTCTTACTGAATTTTTACAGTATACTGTGGGAACCGTGTTCACCCACAAACAGTACGGTTACCATGCTATAGTCTTTGGCTGGACACCAACATGTGAGCCCCCCGGTGGGGAGGCATGGATTGAACAAATGAGGGTAGATGATCTACAAGGTGGAAGACATCAACCATTTTATCATTCATTGTTCGTTAAATGACTCTTATGTTCTTTCGGATACCTCTCTAGGCCAATATCTAATGGTATAACAGGGTCCAAGACGAAACAGAACGCTATGTAGCCGAAGAAAACATCTTGCAGATCAAGCCCAGAGCTGATACGATTCCATCAGATCTCTGCGAGATTGCGGGAAAGTACTTTAAAAGATACTCCGAGGAGGATGGGTTGTTTGTGCCAATTGATACGAGCGCATATCCTGAGGGCTGATTTTTACTGGAGGGAATCTTGGTATTCTGATACCGACCATTTTAATACAATCTTTTTCTCGGGGCACCGAGAACAGCTAGCACCGGGAGCGTTTCTGTTGCAGAACCGGTTGTATATTAAACATCGCGAATACGAAAATAAAGCTTGGTTATATATCAACCGCAAGTGTTCACTGTCTTTGGCATTTCATGATTACTTTTGTGCAAAGATGAATTTTTGTTTGCCCACTAAGCTACGTGCCCTTAAGCCCACAAATGCAATTAGAAGATCAAGACCCACGGTCCACCCAGCGAAGAAGCGATTTAACACCACCCCAGGGAAAGAAATATCGTTTTACGAAAGGGGTTAGAGGCTCGAGTGATATTTCGTGCAAGCACAGGCGGCATGCATCCCCTCGCGATCGACATCGTCAATTAAGAACTCCATCCTGTCAAGATCCTCTTGGAATTGATTTTCCTAACTCAGTCGAACTCGAAGATTGCATCTACCTTAAACAGAAACATTTTTCCACGGAATCCTCCTTACTTCCCCGGTTGCACTATTTAGATATTCCAGGGCTCCCCAGCAACACGGTAGAGTAGCTTGCTGATCAATATAGTCTATCTATCGAGAGCACCTACATACACTCCCTAGCCAGGCACCCACGATCGATCGAGTTAGTTTGTCTTTTGTACCTACATGCAGGTACGTACATGCACTTGATCCAGCTCTAGCTCAATCCGCGCATCATCGGAGTCAACGGCCGGCCGTAGGTTCTCAGTCACGACTCACGACTCTCCCTTCCCGATCTTTCCTACATTCGCCCACGCTATCACAGTACCACAAACCCCCCTTTACCCTGTTACTACCTCGGTATCTATTCGGGGAATTTCATATTCTCCCGAAGCCTTATCGACACCTACCGAGCGAATGGATAAGCAAGGGGGAGGGGGAGGGGGAGAGGGGAGTTAGTTACTAACCCACATTATACTCTACTCCACCTCCATGTAGCTACTAATAAACCCTAACAAATTACAATAAAGTTACTAGCCAGGTCTACCCTGCCCAGCCGGACCGGCGATTGAGGCGGATTGTCTCCTGGGTGGCCCTTACCCTATATGTAGCTCATGTCTCTCGGATATTTAAGCAAAAAATGTATATGTAGAGCATTCGTACGAGGCGCCTCCCTGCGAAGAGCAGATCTAGACCCCCGAGAGGCTTTTTTTCGCGTGCGACTAGGGTCCTGGATCTTGGTAAATGGCCAAGCTTTTAATTTGATGATGATGATTCTGCTGGGTATGTAGAGTACGTAGGTGTGTCGGGAAGTCGGAGGTTCGGGAGTTGGTTAGTTGTGATGCCTGGGGGATGGGGATACGGCTAATGTGGGGTAGTTAGGTACATGCAGTGCAGGTGTATGTGACAGAACATATGGGCTTTGCCTTGTATGCGAGCTTATCCTCATCGGTGGGTTATGGTTCCTGTTTGATGGGCATTTGTAGATAGGGATCACGCCTACTAACTGCACATGGCCTTCGCGGGAACAGCATACTGAACTGGAATATAATGATTTTCTGGACAGACCCTCTAAGTAAGCTATATTTGAAGCACTAAAAGTAATCCACCAAAGCAAGATTAAAAGGTATCACATCCCATAGATAAACCGAAACAAGACAGCACAGATATCTTCCAAAGATCCCACTAATAATACATTCACACCAGGTTGAGGAAGATAAGACAAACAAACACACATGCTGGGATGACAGGCAACTCGACATGACAAGCGTAATAACATAGATAAGTGGTTTAAAAATATAAGAAAGGAGTTTCAACAAAAAATTAGAAGTTAAACATAAAACATGCAAGGTAACGAACCAGACATTAAGAAGATATGACCCAGCCAGCTAGCTAGCAATAAGTACTGTACCAAAACGCCCTCCCAAAAATATCAAAGTAAAAGAAAATGTAGAAACAAAAAAATAAAAAGCAGCTCTAAACTAAAAACTTTTCCCCCGGAAACTTGAAAGCTCATGCATGCTTCATCCGTTCGTTAAATAGTAGCATAGAGATATTTATGCCCTTAGCATCATAATGAGACACCGGCATTGGCAAGGACTTCTTCAATGTCGACGTTGTTGAAGCCAGAGAGCTTCCCGTTCTCCAACTGGTTGAGAACTGGCTTTGGTTGCTTTGAAAGAATAGCAGTGAGGTATCCGCTCACTGTAGTCTCCTCAAACTTGCTCCACGGGTTCTGTTCCGCCAGCTTGTCGAAATGCGCTTCTAATGAAGAACCAGTAGGTGGAAGAATCTAAAGGTGATTGTTAGCTTTACTGCTCGGTGATGGAAGATATGAAGGAGTAAACATACGCCTACGAGAATCTCCTTCTTGACCCCATCGAACTCTGCACTGATTTCCCCGGCCTCCCCGGCAAACATCTCGTTGATAGCAACCTCTTCGATGTCCTCTGTCGTGGCATCAATTTCCGTGCGTCCCCAAGAAAAGCACTCATTCACCGCATCTAAGTCGCTCGCTCCATGGCACCTATATGCCTCCAATACTGCCTGCAACATGAAGTTTGCCGCATTCTCCGTCCATAGCCGGCTGACCTCTGCGAAATTCGCCGAGGTCCAGGTACTGAGTATCATGAACTCCTTGAGTGCATCTTTTAGCGCAGCATGGCCCCACATTGAACGGTCAGGCGCAGGGAGCGTGTAGTAGCCCATTTGGCGCAGCATTTCTTCCTGATTCTTGTGCAGCTTCTCTTCCGAGAAGGGGGTCTTGGGCACATCAAAAGCTGCCTCGGCGGTGGAGTCAATTCCGGCAAAGACGTGAGGGATACGGCGGCGGGAAAGCCATGCTTGCGCGCGCGCTGCACCCCGTGTCGCGTTGGGTGAGAATGTAGGAGAGGTTACATCGAGACGGCGCAGGAAGAGAGTTGTGAAGCGACATAGTCGCAGACGCAAATTAATGCTATCGGGGAGTGTATTATTTGGGTGCGCACGGGTAAAGATTTGGTAAAATGCTTTGATACCTATTAGTTCACGAACATCTAAAAGGTCACCGGCGAGAAGTTTACAAACAATTGACTAATTTCAAACCCATTTCTGCGGACTTTGACGCGTCTGTCCATTCTCTCTTTCCCACCTTGCCCTCTTGGCGCAGTTTGCGCTCAGAGAGTACTGATTCGATGCAGAACCAGCACAGGTAGTCTAGGATCAACTCGTCTACATGGAGTCTAGTATTGGCATTCATGTCGACAGCGGTAGGCATTGTGGATTGAATTGAAATTAATTATAATAGGGTGGTACTATATATTTGTTGCGGGGAATTAGAGATTGTGTGGGGAAATTATGAGAACTGATTTGTGGGGGTGGGGATAAAAAAGAGTGTGGGTGGGTGTGGTGGTAAATTTTGCCTATATCGTAAAGAGTGAATATAAATAAGGAGTGAACGAGAGTGAGTGTGTGGGCAAATGAGTGAATGAGCGGACAACGATGAACGTTGGATTGAAACGAGGGGGGGGAGGGGGGCAAGATATATCGATATGGGGGATAAGAAGGAGGGTTTGAAGGAGAGTAGTGGTGATAGGGGATTAGATAGGGGGTTCAACTAATTGGGGAGGGGGAAGACAAAGAGTAGAGACAGAGTGGGGGGGAGGGATCTAGACGGTTGAGCGGTGGGGGTGGGTGGAGGAAGGAGGAGGTTGAAGAGAGGGGTGGTGGCAAAGGTTGAGTGCACAGATGCCCTTGCTGCGTTCCGCTGCCGGTACCTGCATCAAACAAATTTCCCCCTGCGCGAACCGTCACCGCCGTGGCGCGCAGAAGATCGAGTGACAGCTCGTGAATGCATGTACTCTCTCTAGATGCACATCGACGTACATCTTCAGACTCTTTCTCCTCCTGCATGGATTGTCCGAGAGTCCCGCCCCTTTATTGCGTGCTTGCCGCTGCTACTCTAGAGTAGAGGATACTTACTCGGTTAGGCAGGGGCTACTACTCTACTGTAACGATATTCTATGATGCCGTGTGAATAGATTACATGTAGTATCTGCAGTGCACTGCTGGAGTGCATTGTGGTCCGGCTATCGAGCTTCCGAAATCCAGCGATTCCTGGTGGCTGGATTTCTTTGGCTGCTTGCCGATAAATAAACCGCTACCGTCTCCACACTGGCGGGTGTAGGGGTATCTGTGTTAGGACTAGCTAGGAGAGTAACATCAATTGCAATACCGGTACTTGTAGCTACGGATTAATAAAGAGTTGATTAGAAGAGGGATCCGAGAAACAATCAAGGGAGGAAACAAAAGCTACGTAAGTGTTCAAATCGGTGCCATATGTCAAAACAACGTTGAAATTGACAGTCCAGATTTTAAATCTCAGTACCATAGATCATGGTCATACAAGTATGATCACCCTCTCCCAAGCGTTCTCGAGAGGAGGTTCGTGATAGACCAATCAAGTCCTCACTTTGGGTTCCATACTGCATCTCCCCTCCTCCCCTTCGACCCTTCCCTCCTGCTCGCCTCCTTCTTTCCTCTTCCTGACCAATTTGCACTTTGACCATCTCCCGTCCGTTTCGCTTTAACTTATATTAGGACATCTCAAAACTTACGCAACGCACCACAATGCCGGGCCGGTGAATCCCACCGCTTAGGGCGCATGGCCTCTGGCCGTCTTTGTTTCATGGTGATAACCTTAACTAGTGTTGACCCCATCCATCAATCCATCCTAACCCTCGCCACAATCTTCAACAGCGGTACTGGCATTGGCATTGACACTGGCATAAACGTGCATATCATCCAGAGTGTTTACGGAACTCCGATTCTCGAAGCACGATCTTGAAAACTGACTAGCTCTCTAGGTAGAGTAGGCGTTTGAGGTTTCGATCATATCGTGATCGATGCATGCTTTCCTTCAGCTCGATATCAGAGGATCCGAGGTAAGTCCGGAATCGGGAAAGGCTCCTGTATGTCATGCATGAGTACCTGCATGAGGGCACCTTCCAGTTACAGCCAGTAAAAAGAGAACCTTCAGCATTTTCCTCACCGCAGAGACGGGAAGAAAAAACTCTTGACATTCAACGGGTATCGTCGGGACCCCTCGAGACAAAACCCTCGATATGTGGTGCTGTTATAGCTGTACGTCATGCCCCAAAGAGAAAATTTGGATGTCTCGGCCTCATGATGTCTCGGTCTATTTCTGATGTGGAAGCGTTTCAGAAACGGCCGTCCGAGAACACTCGGAGAATATGGGCTGGTAGTCTAGAGAAGTATGGGGGGTCGAGGACACGGACGTTTTTGTTACCGCCCCCTCTAGGCCGCCAAACACAACAACAACGGTCCGTCCAGAACCCTAGCAAGTTGCAACAAACTTTCGGTTGAGTTGGCTAACTACTCTACCGCCGTCTTACCCGCGTCTAATTCTCTTTCTCTACGCGAGCATATCAGTAACCGATGGATTTTCTCTACTATGGAGTTGCAAAATCTATATTTTGTGTCCACTGAGTCGTGTTTTACACGCTACTCGAGGTACACAGCCCCGCTAGCAAAGACATCAAGAAAGACAGTCAATGCAACTCAACTCGGCTTGGTGAAAACAGAGCTACCTATGCCATGTTTTACTCTCGGTCTTTCGGGAGTTTGGACATTCTTTGGATCCGGAGTCCGAGAGGGTTCATATCCCAGGCTCCGTAACAAAACTAGACTCCGGTTAAAGAGCGTGCCCTTAGACCAATTATGAATAGGATTCACTATGAACATCTGCATTATGTTTCTCCCCTCCCCCGATGCCCAATTGAGAGAACCTCAACGATGTAAGATCTCTCCCGGGTAAAGCTACCATAACTCCTGCTCGCTCTAGAAGCACTGTTTCTGCTTAATAACTAAATCTATACAAAAAAACCGGAGTCTGAGGGTAGCTTGACTTTTGTTTTGTACCCTTTGTTTCCCGCTGCGCCATACCCACGGCCGCCGGCAGATGAAAGTCACGTACATGCTTAGGTCTGTGGTCATGTGTGCTCCCGTGATATGGGTCCTTGGGGGAGAAATTGGTAGCCTAGCCCTCAAAAGGGGGGTGGGATCTCTGGTAGCTCTGAGACATGTTTCCCAGTATGCATAAGGGCTGGATCGATTTTTAAGAATTATAAACGAGAATTTGATTAACGGACGTTCTACCAACAAAAATCGAGGGCTATCCACCGCTATGGAAACTCAAATGACATATACCAAAAGCACTTCCTGATCAAGGAGGATGTTCTATATGGCTTCCTGATATAGCGGGACATGAAGGATCTACTCTGTTTTCCGCATTTGGATATAACTTCCCTTCGATTCTTGCGCAAATCATATATCCTACGGTCGATCCGTAACGAGGTTTGGACGTTACGGGTCAAAGTCTCGACCGTGACAACAACCGCTGGAGGTACATATTATTTGATAATCAAAAGTACTTCCCCGAATTGATTCTGGTCAAAGAAATATACATGAACTACGTTTGGTAATGATAGGTCGATCATCGAGGGTAAGCCGGGTCCTGGGACTTGGGGAAACCTCAACAGAAAGTGTCTTGGCGGCCGAGTGATCCATATTGAAGCCATTGATGTTCCTCGGGTTCAGCCAGCAAAGCACGACCATGGTATAGTGAGAATGACCCTCTTACGGGGTGCATTTTGTCTAGAACGTACACGCATCCAGGGCTAGAATACATGTGGCTGGAGACGACAATTAGCTAAGAGATGTGCTAAAACGGAACATTTGACTAATTGTTACACTAGTGCAAATATCTATTCAATTCCAAGTATATCGCTCACGTTGGAGGAAGCTTGACATCTATCAGACACGAATAGAAACACAGGAGTTACAAATGGTTCTAGTCCTCTAGATCCATCTCTGCGAACGGTCTAGGGCATCTAGACGTTAGAAATTCTTGGGAGCTACAAATACCTATGTACATATGTACAACATATATATATCTACAGCCACATCTCCGGCAAGGCGATAAACATTCAGCCGAGTCCCTGCATATATCACATCAAAGGAAAGGTTCTGGATATGGCCTTCTGTTTATATATATAGGGCAAACGTAAAGTCTAGAACCAACATCGTAGTGCATGACTAAAAGATGTTGGATGACGTCTTTTAGTTGTAAATATTCTGGCGTGTGTAGCATAACCTTCGAGAAGGGCCTCGTCGCGTCCCGGGTTGGGCGGTATGCAGGTTGGTGGTGCAGCAGACATTGAATCTCCGCAACCCCAGATTTTACAATAGGGGCCCGCTCTTCGTATATGTATGGACCTATAAACCGCGCCTATAGTTTGATAATCAACTCGTAGTTGATATGCCGCTATTATGCCGTCCTTAACTCATGTAACTTATCATCACATGCAATTAATGAATTAAACGAAAAAAAATTATCATCACCACCCATCACTCGACCCCCTTACCCCAAACGCCCGTCACTCCCTCCAACCCAACTTCTCAATGTCTTTGATCCGATTGCCTCCCAAGGGCCAGGTACCCACCCCCAATCACGCAATTGCTGATGGCGCACAAATCCAGGGAGCCATTCCCACCCTTCTAGAAGCCCACACAACTGCCTCACGCAGGCGCGCGGCTCTTGCACTCACGTGACCGCCAAGCGAGATAAAAATTAACCCACCAACCAACCAACCCAAACCCTTGTCTCAGGCTGGTAAAGTTTCTTTGCAACCCATTCGAACTTCCCGCACAGAGCAGCAAAAATGGGACGGTCAACAAAAAGAAAAGACGACAAAGGCGCCGAGAAGAAGAGGAAGAGGAGAAAGAAGGCCAGAACCGACGGTACACCCCCCTCAAAAGTCTGGCCCCCTCCCCAATGCCGGGTGCTAATGCGCGCGTTTAGTTTCGAGCGATAGCGATAGCAGCAGTAGCAGTAGCGAGGATGAGGTGAAGGTCAAGAAGACCGTCGGCGGGGGTGCAGATGTCAGTATGGATGTGAGTATAGATTGGGGGCACTGGCAGCGGCTTCAATTGACTAATTATCTGCAGGATGCTGCTGTTGCGCCGTCGGTACCTGCGATGATTGAAGACGAAGAATCCGACCATGATGAGGCCGCCGAATCTACCGTCGCCGGAAAGCCCAGCGAGAAGGTTCGCCCTCTTCGCCCGTTTTTTTGATACTTATAAGAGACTAACAAGCGCAAAACTTAGAGCGGACAAATCCCACTGCAGCTGCGCGACTTCCGCGATTCGCAGGCGGACGCAAAGTTCGAGGACTACTACATGCGCCTCGTCACGGAGGAGTTTGGCGAGGACATCAACAACTTTCGAAGCGCAAAGGACTTTGGGGACAAGAGCTTGCCGCTGCTTATCAAGGCGTTGAAGCAGGGCATCAACATCTTTTCTGCGGACGAGAAGATGACGGTTGTCAAGGAGCTGGATTAGATCATAATGGTGGATTGATTTTTTCTCTTTTCTTTTCTTCTTTTTCCTTTTTTCCCTTCTTCATTTCATTTTTTCATTTAATCAAGATGTACCCCAGAATAGCAATGGCTATTGCTACATTACATGGCGTTTTTTTCGAAGATTGCATATCTTAATACCATCTGTACTGCGGAGAAGCTAGAGGAAGGAATGCCGGTGGAGGTTACTTTGGAGAAACGTTGTAGAGGGAACGCTATCTAAGGGCACAATTAAGACTATGTCGAGAGACAAGTGCCATCAGGCTAGCTGGTATCCGCTATAAAGTAAAGGTTTTGGGGAGCACCTTTTTGAAATCCCAACCAATATATACCCCCTCATGCCAACATCTCCCTTCCAAACCCACCGCAAGAACCCAAGCCCACAACACCTTTAAAAGAAAAAGAAGGAAAAACCCGGAAAGAATTACACCATGATAACAATGACAATGTCCCCACTACGCTATACCCGCTCCTCATAGAGCCGCTGTTTCCTTAAGCCTCCCATTTTCAACATAGTCCTTCGCCTGAAAGACCTTGACCTTCTCATGCTCCTTCCACATTGGCGGCGGCTTGCCGTCGCCCAGAGCCCGTTCCTCCCGGCGTAGTGCTAGCTCGGTTCGCTCGACCTTGGACGTCATCTGTTTGATGTTCTCGTTGACCCGTAGTATCAGACCCTGGTGGAAGGGGGAGGGAGGGAGAGATCAGTATATATCATCCATATACGAGGAAAAGCTTGGTACGTCCCGAGAGTGGGGAAAGGGAGGGGGAGGCGGAGGGAGGTGCCTACTTCGAGCAGGTCAATCTGCTGATACACGCTATTCAGCTCCGTAGCTATCGGGATGAGCTGTGCCGCGGCCGGCTCGATCACATTTGATATCTGGCTCTGTGCCTGAAACTCGCTCACTGTGATAAGCTTTTTAACTAATCCCTACTATCTAATAACTATTTCTAAACGAGAGAGTGGGAGTGTCACAAACATCCTGAAGGATATCCTTTTGGGCCGACATTGAAACGTTGCATTCATCGCGAAGCCGGGTTATGTTGGACGACTGTAACGAGGATACGTTCGTTGTCAGTCAAGTCAAGTCAAAGCAGTTCCTGGAAAATGTCTCAGGCAAGGCGACACAAGGAAAAAAAGACCCCCCAAGAAAAAAAAGAAAAGAAAAAGGCTAAAGCGGCTCTTCATACCAGGGGCGCAAACAGCGAGGAGCGAAGATATCCAGCTATCTCTACGGCAACCTCAGGCGGGAGGTCGAAATGCCGGGGTGGTGGTGGTGGGGTGTTCGGCATCGTGGGTGAGTGATTTCAAGAAGTTTTCAGTATGTATGCGGGGGGGGGGATGAATCAGAAAAGCGACGGAGAAAGAGTAATGTTCAAAAATAACAAAATGAATATATTGGAACGTTATATCTAGTTAAGAGAGAGACATGTGGGGGCGTGTGGATGGATGTCGTCGCGAGGTGGGAAAGAGAAAGAAAGAAAAGCTGCTATTGGAGGAGTGGGGGGGGAATCGGGAGCTTTCCAATCCTTGTGGTCCAGCCCAGCCAGTGTTTTCGCCAGAGAGGAGATGGTGAGATGCATGCAGACTGATTAACATCAAGGTCAGTTGCATCTGCCAGGTGGTAGTGGAGGTGGGTTAGGGTTGCAGATCTCTCCCTCCTGGTCTCTACTCGAGTTTCCGTTGTGGGATTGCACAGGGAATCACTCGCGGGTAAACGATCCTTGCCTGTAACAGCAGCTAACGGGTGCTTCGCCACCTGAAACTGTCAAGTGCAACACTAACATTTAAATCGCCCAGATTGGTAGAGTACTTGGCCCGTCTACGTTTGAAGCAAGTCTTTTATTTAGTACTGGCAGGTTGTACAAAGCTTCCATTCCAAATACACCCCGCAGATCCGCAACGCGTTTGGAACCGTTGATAAAACTTAAGCATAACATCCTCCCGGGATGGATCAGTACTTCTGACGTCTTATGTCCATTGTCCATGCACCTTACAAAAATACCGCCGAACCTGATCTCCCACTCCTTGCATGTACATGATGCAAGGGGTAGTCGTTTTTCTTTGGTGATATGCTGTTACTCTTACAAATACATGTAACTGCTTTTCACACAGACCGCACAACTTAAAGTTCCATTGATCGGAAACAAAACAAATCCTCAGATAATAAAAATAGAATCCCACTTCGTCAAGAGGATAGGAGAGAGAGAGAAAAAAGTCAAGAAAATAGACAAAAGAAAAATATTACAATATACGGTCCTTGGCTCGTTTCTTAACAACTAGAGTTTCCCGCCCAGCCCAGCCAGTTCGTAGTAGCTATAGCCCTTGTTATGACCACCAGATCCAGAGAATAAACTATCTTGTATCTGTACCACCGTATAGCGTGAATGAAAATGCAATTATATCACACCTACAATGCTACTGACGCCCTCCACGACGTCCTCCACGAGCTCGACCAGCACCCTACTGATCAGTCAGTAAAATCCCGCACATTCTTAATTTGGAAGGGGATTCTTACTTGGTTCTGTCCCTGGTTCTGTCCCTGGTTCTGCCCCTGGTTACCAGCGTTTGCATTGTTATTGTTGTTCGCACCGTTATTGGCGTTATTGGCGTTATTGTTGTTATTATTGCCATTGTTTGCATTACCCTGGCCGACGGTAAACTTTGTACAATCGTCTTGAGCACCACGCTGGGCGATCGGCATGAGAACAGGCTGATGGTTAGAAGCACTCGACATGGTGCAGACCCGATAGAAGCCTGCCGGAAGGCCGCCCGTTACATCTGCAGATAATAGCCCATTCCCATTTCCGGCATCATTGATACCCTTGAAGAATTCAAATTTTCCTGCATCAGGGCTATTTATTTGTACATGTAAGTAAGTTGGCAATATCATTTTTCGGATATTAAATGGACATACGCATTATTAGGTGTAAGACTGCCACCCAGGTTTTGAACAGTGACATGTGTATGTCCCACAATCTTTCCACCCTGGAGTGCTTGAGGTGCTGCATAATATGTGTTTGCAGGGTTCGTGAACGATCCGGCCTGCAGATTTGCGACTTGGACTTGTATCGTGAATGCCGTATTTGCGGCAATATCTTGACCTGGTGTAGGGGATGTGATGATTGACGATACCATATTCTGGGTCGACGGAATATCACCCATTACTATGAAATAGTTAGATATATCTCCATTTGAGGAAGCCCGGACTGAGTTTCTGCGTACCGATTCCATTGCAAGAGCCACCTTGAACCTGAAGACCATTGGTGAGTGTTTTTCCAGTGCAGAAATTTATGAAGTTTGCGGTATCGGTAGCGGAGTCGGCTTGAGCCGGATCGTCACCAGCTTCTTGACCAGTTAAAGCGGAATTTGATTGCACGTTTGCTGGGTTGAGGGCAAGGTTCGCTGCGTTGTTATTGTTGTTATTGTTATTGTTATTGTTATTCTGGTTGTTCTGGTTGTTCTGGTTGTTCTGGTTGTTCTGGTTGTTCTGGTTGTTCTGATTATTTTGGTTGTTGTTCTGATTATTCTGCCTGTTATTATTTTGATTGTTCTATTCCCAGTCAGGAGTTTTTATCACGATTATCTGGAGAGGTTCAAAGTAATTACCTGTCTTCTATCAAGAAGTGCGCGTGCATGAACATTCGATAATGTATATGCATTTGCCATCGAAAGAACCCCCAAAGTCGCCAGGAGAAGGACGGAAATATTAGGGATAAACATGACGTTAAGAAGCAAAAATGAACGTATATATAAGCTGTCAAAAGCAATGGAGTGAATTCACGATCAACGTAAATCTCGTCCGGCGAGCAAAACTACAAGAAAAAGATAATATAAGAGGAAGAAGGAAGAAGTAAAAGAAAGAAACCCCCTTTCGAACAATTCAGGACGGACGATGTAGTGCTAAATGAAAATGAAAGAAAGGTGAAGGTGGGTTTTTTTTAAACATCAAGTGAAGAAAACAAGGTGAGTCTTAAGCAAAAAGTCCAAGACCCTTGGCACGTTGGGCTTTTGGCGCTCTCCCAGGTTTTTTCTTCTGCATCTGGTGCAAAATATTACATGATTGTGTTGAAACTGTCTATCAAGACTATAACGTATCGGGTCTGTTTCGTAAGAGTCGACGTTGATGTAGGTACAAGAAAGCCATCCATGCGTGAAGGGATGAGATGTTGGCTCGGACCAGGCGGATCTGTAAGCTTTCCCTGGGGGCTTTGGAAGATGTCGGAGCTTCCTCTACCAGTCAGAAATCTCCAAAGGGGTCCAGTTGACGTTGCCAAGCTGCATATCTAGGCGCGCTCTACCAAGACGTCTACCCAGCCAGTTGGTAACAGGCTGGGTTACAGATTGGGTTGGGGTTTCATCCTGACACTTAATCCTTGTAAACCAACCATAACCGCATCTCAAGGAGGAGAACGAAGTTGAGGAGAATCGCCGTCGCATGGGAAATACAAATTGTAAACCTTAAATTATTGTCCGTCGCCTCTTTTTGGTAGTTGCGAACCATGCTCTTGGTCAAGCAACCATGTCAATACATACTGCGCCCTGTGACCACTTGCGAGAAACTTGCGGCTTCAGAAGACATCTTGATCAAATCAGTGCACCTCCTTGTTACCCCTCTGTAATAAACTCCTATCACATACGAGCTGGAGGCCTGGCTACCCGTCCGTAAGCCGCATGAAATTTGGAAGCCAAGTACATGGGGATGGGTCAGGCACTGAGGCGGATAAGAGCTACATGTAAGTATGTATAAGCTCTAACAGCGTCCGTCACGTTTGTTCGTATCTTTATTAGACCACAAATCAGGACGGACACCTCCTGGTTTTGTAGTACAGCCTATTAACAGGTAAAACTTCTTTTATTTGGAATGAAAACGCCCAGATCCGAGGCCGAGTCAATGGTATTATTAATGTGTCCCTACATTGCAGATGCACAGGGCATGTGTGCTTGCCCGTGAGGAAGCCACTCGTCGTTCTAAGAACCCCTTTTCTGCAGTGGTACTGTTAAATGGAACGAAGAAAAAGCCATGACATACTCGAAACGTGGCTGGCAGTTTCGAAGAACATTTCGTTGTAGCCGCTCTTCCGTCAATGTGTGTTCGTTCCATCACATCCGATTTTCCGGAATGAACATCAATGGCTCAGTAATGAAGGGGAGTTTGAGTAGTTGTGAATGTAGGCGTAAGATATATCCGGAGGGAGAGAGAGAGGGAAGGTGGAAAGAAAGGAAATCTCTAGGGCAGTAATTTGGCTTCATTTTAAGCGGCAACCTTAATTCAAACTTTAATAGAGCCTCATCCTTCATACCACCGAAACCTGTTACAACGTCTTTTTCTCTCTGAAAAACCTGCCAATGTTTGCCATGACATCTGAGAAAGGCTTATCTGCTCGGTCTCGGACTAAACCATTTTGTATCCATCCAGGCAACTTGGAAGTTATCCTATCAGTTATGTAGCGTTTATCAAACAATATGATAACAGCATAATCTTCGCGGTGTCTTATAGCCCTCCCAATGCTTTGGTTCACGGCTCTCATGCAGGCATTGTCATAAAACTCACGCCCAGCAGCTTTGGCAATCGCTTCCAGCTCAGAGTCAGATGGCATACTCTCGCTTGACTCTGTAAGGTAAGAGTCACGAGCAACCTTCTCCACATGTTCTAGGCGCGCGCGCCACTCGGCGGTATTGCTGTTTGGAAAAGGAAGGCCGACCATGATTATTCCCCTGCCTAGACTGTAATATCATTAATGATTTTAATCATCTTATCGTGATCCCTTTATTGGAGGTATTAGGTTGAACGTACTTGTCATTGAAATTAATTCCCTCTGACATCTTGCCTCCAACAACAGAAAGCAAGAGACTGCCTTTTCCAGAATCGATTGCTTGTGCGTAGTCTTTGAGGATGTCCTCTACACTGCTGCCATCGCTTGATTCTCTAAAAACCTGGGAGAAAGTCAGAAAATCACTCAGTATTTGGATCAAGAATTGAATACAATTTTCCTATCTGCAAGTCTTTCCCAAATAGACTTACCCATACTTCCACTAGTTTTCTTCCACTGGGATACAACATATTCCAAATATGCATAACTAGGAAAGAAACACACAACTCCATGTGGAATAACAAGACATAGATTGATGATAGCTCTACCCAAGTCTTCGATCTATATTGGTTCTTAGTGTTAATGTTCGAAAAATTTCCGAATGACATGATAATCACCATTGCAGGAAGCATACGCTTCTCGAAAGTAAACTCGAACTCTCTTCCACTAGGCCCCTTGGAAACAGGTAATGCTACCAAGTTTTCCTTTGGTATGACGTGTCCACACGAAAATGTGCGGATCCTTTCTTTTGGTAGGTACGGGAAAAGATGCATCATGTAATCATTCATCTAAACCCGATATTGTCAACATATTGGTCCTAATAGAATGGACTATAGTTTCATTTACCGGTTCCATAGTGCCCCCAGCTAAAATCACTGCTCTTGCCTCCTCTACAATCTCCTTGAAGTGGTGTGCAGGATCCAATAGCATATAACGAAAGCAAGCTACTTTCTTATCTTCCATCTTCCCGTAAAATATTCTTCCTTCGGTGGATGGGTTAGTCAAAGCTAAAAGGAACCCTTGAATATGCGTAAGAGTTGGTATCGACACATTAGATATGTTCTCGCCAGCAGATTTCTTGTGTTGTTTTTCCTGCTCTTTCGTCTCAATATGGACCACATATCCTTCAACTTTCCTTGCCAGTTTGCTTTCATTTAGGTATCTTTGGAGCTTGAAAAAGTTGAGCTGATCCATACCATTCATTGCGAGTAGATCTCCAGCAATAACCGCCCCTTCTCCTCCCTTCCTATCCAACTCCTTCAGATACGAAGTAAGTGTACTCAAGATCCGAGTCACTTGCATTACGTAGACTTTATTTTTGCCTTTCAACCGATTTCGGAATTTATTGAGATAGATTTCAAGTTGTGCTTGGCATCGCTCGAGTTGGTTGAGTGATACATTGATTGAATAGATTGATGAGATGGCGTTGATAAGATTATGGGCCTCGTCAATGACTACAATATGCCCATTAAGTGAGAGGTCGAGTGCCTCCCTGGCTGATTTCTGGAGAAGGAGGGGGTATGGTAGCGTTACGATCTAGGAAATTCTTCAGTAAATATATTTTCACTATTAAGGAACGTTGGAGATACATGCCTCGCTTGACTTGATGGTAGGCCTAGAAGCATAATAAGGGCAAATACCCATCTTCTTGCCAAGGGAAGCCAACTCTTCGATATCACGGATTTTTGCAAGTGTATGGTCTCGGAAGTCTCTGATAAGTACCTTGTCATCTTTTTCAGGGAGGAATTGACATCGCGATTCTTGAGTGCCTTTTTGATTGAAAATTAGAAAAACACATATCTCTATTTTCTACTTCTTTTAGCACATACCGGATCGCTGTAGTTCTAGGCATCTCTCATTTATCGCAGTGGGGTTTGATAGTTTCGTAACCTTTGAGTTTATACAAAGATTTTTCCGGGATCCGAGGGGAATATGTTTTATTTCCTCCTCCTCCTCTAGTTTGATTGCCTTGGTGTCTTCCTGTGCGAATGAAGGCGGGAACTTTACACGGCGAAGTTCATTGACGAATTGTGTTAGTTGAGAATGCGTTCGTGAGCAGTAAAAGATCTACATAAACAATCAATTTCACTTATCACTCACTTCGGTTTACTTACTCACTTACCTTAATTTCGTCGGGAACTTCTAAATCTTCATCCTTAATATCTGCTCCCATAGGAATGCCAAGTCTACACCCTTATTAGTCTAATTACACATCTCTTATGGGCTTCCTTACCTCTTCATCATTTCCATTACAGCCGGGGAAAAATCTCCATTGCTGTTAGATTTAGAGTCTCCCCCCTCATCTTCACTATCATAATCGTCTAGAATGAATTGTAAATCCTCATTGTCATTGCCTCCGTCAATCTCAACTTCAAGCTCTCCTTTCTATACACTTATGTATAAGTAAATTCTTGGCTAGATATGTCCTAGAGGGTGTAGAGTGATAACATACCCTTTTCTTTGCCCTACTACCCCCAATACCTAACCCTGACCTTTCTTTTTCTTTCTTTTCTTTCTCGCGTATTTTTGAGAGCCGGGTTTCTAGATCTGCTTTTTCTTGGTACAACTTTTCTTTTTGTTGTTTCTTCGCAAAAGCTCGTACCCAATCGGGCCCACCAGCAGTGCTATCTTAAGCGGAGAATTAGCCACGACCTACATATCGATTCGATGGAAAGAATACCCTTATCTATCTCTTCTAGACGGGCTTCCAGGGTTTTAGTTTTGTGGTCTCTGAGCCAAGTAAGAGAGCCACATATTAGGCTCAATGATTTACCCTGCATGTTTATATGTTTTACCTGTCAGCGGTATACAACTACAATTTTCCCTTATCTCTCTCACGCACAGTTCCTACATCGAAAGTCTGATCAGTATTGAAAAAAAAGGAAATACCGATTGTGAGGGAAACATGCCTGTTGGTGATTCAAAAATGCCGACGCAGCCATCTTCAATAGCGGAGTAGACTGCGTTCATAAAATCCAACTGGATGGGATAAGGTGTATACGGATGATGAAAGTCTCGCTCTGAGTCTGCCATGCTTATTATCTGGCCCCTGGGACTTGTAAGGTTGTTACCGAACTTGGAACGGGAACGCGTTTCTCAAAAGGTCACGTCGTAGTTGCCAAGAAAACGAGCGGTCAGAGGATCTTATCTTATCGGCGGTTCGTCCCAAACGACCTTTTAAATTTTGATATCAACACCGAAATTCCTTATTCAGTAATCAAAGCTGGGAATATTTTTCCTGATTAGATGTACATAAGTTATATTAATTATGTATGTATATGTATTAATTCCCCCCGAAGCTTATGTGTAGGTTTTTAGTACTGTTGCCATATGACTGGTTCCTGGGTCTGACAGAGCTGCACTATCTAATACTAGCCATAATATCCATAACTTTAGAAAAGGATTTTATTGTAGATTCTTTACGTTCCTTCCCTTCATTTACCCCTTTGACCGTCACATTTTAATTCAAATGGCCTACCAGTCCCGATTAGGCGATATATTAGGGAATTACCACAGAAACCCCTCAGCTCAGATCTGCAGAGACCATAAAAAGACAACACCTTCCTAGATGGGCCACTCGTAATCGCCTAATCGGGCATGGTAGGACATTTGAACTAAAAGGTGACGGCCAAAGGGATACTTGTCCCCGCTGAAAACTGACTATATACCACTTCCCGTAGAGAGTGTGTCGTTTGTTGAACGCACACTTAATTAATCTAGTATCTTCAGGCCTTCTTCCTTCCTTTGTGAGGATCCACTGCCCCCATTGATTCTTTCAGCAGCTGCAGGCTGCCAGCCAGATACTTCAGCGAACTCTGGGACGTAGGGAAATAGGTATAAAACGACAAATATATGATAAATTAATACCAGAGGAAAGAAATGTATCGAAACGTGATCTTCGACATGGACCAGTACGTACGTGACTACTCGATCAAGTACAGTACCAAAAAAGCGGGTGGATCCAGTACTATATCTGGTAAAATACCGTAGGGTTACGGTATTGTTACGGTATTGTTACGGTATTGCTACGGTATAATAGTTAGCATTCCGATTTAATTCGGAAGTTTTGCACAATTCCGTATTGGTACAGTACCTATTACATCCTCTTTTTTCGTACTGTAGCTTATAAAAGCACGTAAACAAATTAAGCACTATAAGATACCCAAATTATCTTGTATATATTAAATGATAAGGTATATTTAATACTCTTGAGAGAACAAAAATGACAAACTGAAGAAGACAATTCTGCTTGCAGAAATATGCCAAGCACAAAGAAAAGGAAAATAACAGTTCGTGTTAGTCACATCATCCTTTAACACTAGCATGATCGATCTTATAAAAGTGAAATGACAAACTAGAGCTGTACTATACTTAGAAAAGCCCTAAAGTATATATTCATTACACGAAGAACTGTACTCGGTTATTAACACTGCGCCTTGAAGCTAAAATTGACGTTGGTATTGAAATAAATGATTAACTTTATAGGATGTAAATAAAAATTGTACATGGCCTCTATACCTGAAGGCTGTAGAGCACCTATATATATAAAAACTCTCTTATCTGCTAATATTTGCTTAGGACTAGTTTCCACATGTAGTACATGTAGTCAAACTACATTCGGTATCTACATCTATGGTCTAAGGTATAAAAAACAGGGTATTGCGAAGTATCCGAGGTAATGATCTTAAGGAATAAGTAACATAGATATGTGTTCTTACAAAACCCCTAGTTACCTGGTACGCGCCAAACTATCCTCAATTGTGGATGTCTCTTTCAAAGATCTACTTCACAGGAGATCATTCGATTATCGTCACAATCACGTGAAGCGCAGTCACTATCCAACCTGTAAGATTCAAAAAATACACCCTATTCAACGCAGAACTTGATTTATCTCAATAATATTTATGCCTCGGGATAGATTATTAGTGCTCAGCCGACATGCAGTATGCGCATAATGAGATAATGCTCCGACAAGGTATGCTGGCCGGAGCTGCCAAGTGAAACCCCATATTCGTAAAGGAAGGGTCATTTGATATTAGGCACATATAAACTCAACAGGCCCAAACAAGCTTTTTGGGGGATAGAGTTGCATCGTTTTTGGCTCGAGGAGTCTATGGAACTTGAGTTTATCTATGCGTAATGCACCTACAATCATGTCAACCATGAACTCAGAAGTCGGAATTTATAGGGTCAATCTAGGGTGACAACGTAGTTTGTTGATATAGTAAGATAAATAAAGTGTGCCAAGCAAACGTCTTTGAGTTCTCGGATGTCGCAACCAAATCCTTAGAAAAATCCGCTGACTTGATGAACGCACGTAGTTGACCATGCATGACAATTAAGCTCAGGAAACCTTTACTACCGACACCTTGTTTCTTAGTCGTAAAGCATGTACTAGAAGAATACTTAGGCGATAGCACCGTTAAATTAGCCTGCAGGAACTGTGATTTTGGTATGCGACTTCGTCATATAGGATCCCGGTGGGGCTGGTTTCTCATCGGATGTGACTGATTTAGAAGAGCACGGGCAGATGAAAAAAATTGGGGTTTGTATCGAGATTTTTAATGTGACGAACGAGGCAGGTACGGGTGATTTGATTGCCCTTTTTGATAAATATATAGATTTGATGGCACTAGCCTGCGGCCCGGGTAAAGAAAGATGCGGGTTTCAGGTGTGTATCCACCTCATGGAAGGTGCGCCAGCGTATCTCGTCTTCTAAAGGATTAAGAATAGATGTTGCCAACCATAGCAGAGGCCATGAAGGGAATCTTTGTAACATCAATCTGAACCTAGCTGTAAACAAAGGGGCAACAGTCCTGTCACAGCCGTAGGGCCAGGCCGTGTTAAAAAACCGACGCTTGATATAATGGAGGGTTCGGTCATTGTATTCTGATTAGTATCATCTCCACAATGCTCCCTGCAATATTGGATTATTAAGCACTCTCCGGTACTAGATCGGGGATCTCAGCCAGGTTCCTATCATAAATAGAGTTATCTCTGCTTTCAAAGCCTAGGATCATAGAGCTAGGTAGAGGTGCATTACTTGGAGCTCTTGTTGCTTCGGCAACATCCGCAGCGAGAGCTCGGACACCTATCGCTCCAAGCATCACACCTCTTGGGCGCATGATACATGGTTATTAACCTGCTTAGGCGAGGCAACAACCACGAGCACGGCCGCAAACGACTCGACCACCTTCATCGGCGTCCGTTGAAACTACATACATGTACCTACTCTATGCGGAAGAAAAGACGACCGCTATTGCATGCCATACAAAAAGGTAGCCTTGGCGGTTTTTTGTGTGTATGCGATATCAGTCGTGTTCGAAAACGTTATGAAATGGGGGGTAATAGGTAGGTACTGTCCTGCGGTGCATCGGCGCTGATGGTGGGGACGGTGTTGCCGTCCACTGGAACTTTACCAATCCTAATGCCACCAAAATCATGGTTCTAACGGAGATACATGTAGTATTTATACATATGTTTCTCTGTTCTCTACAGAAAAACATCTCCTCGTTTATGAGTTAGCAGCGGGAGATGTCATCACACGCCTAGGGACAAAAACACCTGCCAAGAACCCCAAACCACAGATAGGAGCGATTTCCATATATTTGTATATATACCACGGAGGGATATTAGATGTGACGTAAACGTCCGGTAATGCAACTGATTTACTCCACGATGAGCTTCAAAATTAAAAGGATTCCTATCTTCTGCCCCTCCGGACAGACAACAAAGCTTTCAATTATTTCGGATTTCGGAAAAAATAAGTTTCGGAAATAATGGTGTCTACCCGCAAATCCACCCGCTCCTCCTCTGGTCTCAGCGAAGAACCGGCTGTCACCTCTCCCACAAAGCCAAGTGCTGGTCGTAAGAGAAAAACCGAAGAAGATGCACCTGAGTCGGTTATTGACGGATCAAAACACCCTACAAAGCAAGCCAAAAAAGCAACTGTGGAGGGTGAAACTGGAGCAGAGGGAAAGAATAGCCCGAAGCAAACTACACTCGATAGCGCGCTTAAGCAGCAACCGCGAGAGGATGATGCTACCGGGGACGTAATTACTGAAGAACCCAAGGGTGTCGAGGAGGCACAGGGTCAAACCCATGAAGACGAAGAGCAACTCCAAAATGAATCTAAATGCGCCATCACCGTTTCCTCCAAGCGTGAGGAAAAAGTAAAAAATTCCCCGATTATGGAAAAAGGAATAATCTATTTCTTCTTCCGCCCCAAGGTTGCAGTTGATCACGTTGAGAGTATCGATGATGTGCAGAGGAGCTATATAGTTCTTCGGCCCTTGCCATTGGGCGCAAAGCTTAACGACGGGAAGGTGGGGGATAGTGATAGAGAGAGTCACCATAGGCTTATTGTAGTCCCCAAAAAGAGATTGCCGGGACGCGGATACGAGAGATTTTTGTAAGTCCTTCTGTCAATCCAGGTCATAGGCTCGTAGGATAAATAATTGATTTGGTAATAGGACATTCGTGGAGGAACCAAAGATCTCGGCAGCCGACCTGAAAAGCCGATTTTTGAAGGGAAGTACGTATATGACGAAAACACAAGGGTAAGAAGAAGAAGCTATCCGCAGCCCCGAGGATGCAATGCATTGTGTACCTGCTAAATACGCGCCCCCTTAGAGAGCGAAAAAACTCACCCATGAAACTTATTGGCGAAGGCATATATGCTCTTGCAAAGACCGAAGAAGAGCGATCAACCCATCTGGCTTACATCCTCACACTTCCTTCCACACCGGGTGAACTTCAAAAAGACTTTGGCTTAAAATCG